GGGCAATAAACTGGATTCACAGAAGTTTAATGGTGAAAACAAATCAAAGATGCCCAAGGAATCTTTGTTTGCCATCTGAAGAAATCAACTTTAAACCAAGAAAAGCTACATCCATGATATGTTTGGTCGTCCTTAAGATGCGACAAAAGTACATATGGTTTTAAACTGTAATAGTATTTTTAAAAACAGAGTAACAGAATAACAGAGTTGGAAGGGACCTTGGGGGTCTTCTAGTCCAACCATCTGCTCAAGCAGGGGACCTTATGCCATTTTAAACAAATGGATGCCCAGTCTCTTCTTAAAAGCCCCCAGTGATGGGGCATCCACAACCTGAAGGCAAGCCATTCCATTGGTTAATTGTTCTCAGTCAGGAAATTTGTCCTTAGTTCTAGGTTGCATTGCATTGTCAGCATGCTTCTTGAGACATACTGCTTCAAACTAAGAACTTGATGATTTCCAAGCTAAGAACTTGGTGGCCTTTCAAAAGATTTGGTTAATTAATTATGCTTGATGCAACATCTTTTTAAAAACCTGGCTGAACTCTTTCCCAACAAAATCACCACTAGAGGGCAGGAAATGACTAGTCTCCATGTGATTCCTTGAATTAAGAGTGTGTCTGTGTTTATGTGTGTGTACTTATGCATGTATTGTTCATTAATACATGCATAAGTGAACTGAAAAGCATATAAATGAATCATGATACTTCTGCTTAAGTGTAACAGTATTTCAAATATGTGAAGGACAATTCCACAAATATGTGAATTTCCACTCATACTTCAGTTAAAAAAAGTTCAGTAAAAAATAATTCCTAAAGTTAATTTTGTTATGAATAATGCCAAAATGCATGTATGCTTTTTATGACTCAAAGAAATGAGAATGACAATTTTTGATATTAACTTATGCTTCCATGAGAATTTTTCTACTAGCCTAATCAAATGATACTTGAGGGTTAAATTTTTAAACATGACCTTTTGAAAAAAGAATGATGGGAAATGGAAATTTTTATAAAAAGTATTCTTAACAACTCAAGATGTAACCTTATTCCCGAACATTAGACTTTAAATTCAGGATAATTCAGAAATGCATGTCAAAATCTTTCAAAGAAATCTGATGTGTGTCTTACAGTTATGTCTTTCTAAAAATAGGATGTGCCTGAAATAAGTTACAATAGGGTTTTATTCTAGCTTACTGCCTTGTGTAAAGTCTACTAATCATGGTTTGTAAAGTATGGCTTAAGGTTTACTATAATGCATGAACAGATCCAATTTTTGTTTAATCAACAAGCCAGAATGTATTGGTCTGGGAAGCCTGGGAAGGAGGACACTTTTTCAAAAAACGAAGTACAACATCAGCATATGAGGAGAATCCTCCCTTATCTGTTAGATGTTGGCTACAGCTCCTGCTCATCCAGGGATAGTTACCATAAGAATGATAAAGGCTCTGCCCTAAGGATAAATGGGGTCCTAAAAGAGAATTTATTTCATTCCTGAAATTTATATGACATGATCAATGAGCAGTCCTCAATGGCACTACATCCACATGGAGAGAAGTAAGCAGTGGGGTACCACAAGGCTCCGTCTTAGGCCCAGTACTCTTCAATATCTTCATCAATGACTTAGATGAGGGAATAGAAGGAGAACTCATTGAATTCGCAGATGACACCAAACTAGCAGGAGTAGCCAACACCCCAGAAGACAAACTCAGGATCCAAAAAGATCTTGACAGACTTGAACAATGGGCCCTATCCAACAAAATTAGTTTCAATGTGGAGAAAAGCAAAGTTTTACATTTAGGGAGGAAAAATCAAAGGTACAAGTATAAACTGGGCGAGACCTGGCTCAAAAACAGTAACTGTGAGAGGGACCTTGGAGTCCTAGTGGATGATCACTTGTCTATGAGCCAGCAGTGTGCAGCAGCAACCAAAAAAGCTAACAAAATCCTGGGTTGTATAAACAGAGGTGTAGAATCAAGATCACGAGAAGTACTATTACTGCTTTTTAAAATCCTAGTAAGACCACACCTAGAACACTGCAGCCAATTTTGGTCACCAAAACATTAACAAAAGAAATGGAAAGAAATCACTGTCTTGTGTTGGGCATATACAAACCCTATTCTATAGGCCTTGAGAGACAGAATATATTCTCCGGGAGAGGGAAAAAAGGCAAACATTTTGTGCTCTGCAAGGTACATTGAAATATCCATGCCTTATTTCTGATGACAAAATACTGATTTGCATGCACAGACATCATAATCTACCAAAATGCTTCATGTAGGGACAAATCTGAAGCTGAAATCTCATTAGTTCAATTTTCTTGTCTCCTTCTGATAAACTTCAGAAATGTTCTTATACTCTTAATCAAAAATACCGCTTCCTAAGACTGTTTGATGTGAAATGATAAGGTGTAGGAATCTGATCTGATGGGGATAGTGATTTTTGCTATTGCTGGTAAGTAACTTAAAGACAATATCCATTGTAGAGATTGCAGTTAATTGTACAAGCAGTAACTTTTGTTTAAAATTCTTTCTGGCACATAGTAATAATACCAAATTCAAAGACAGTCCCAACATGTTGCTTAATCTGACTGGCGTGCCATGGACTACACTCCATAAAATAGGCAAGGCAAGGGGAAAAATACTTTTAGTTGATTTTACACTTGAATTAAAGTAAAAACGATTGACATGGATTTTGTGCCAAACAATTATTTATTCCTTTTTTCTCATCAAAAATAATAATTTGATGGCCCTTGATGATAATTCCAATCATCTTGAAGTTACTGATTCATCTGACGCTACAAAATATTGTCATCTAAAAAGCCTTGGCTATTTGACAGGCTGTCTTTCTATAAAGACATGGTTTCTATCTGTCCCATAAGGCCCAATACAGTTGACACTCATTGGGGCCCAGGTTTGAGAACCAAGCTCTGCATAATGAAGTGAGCTACTGTTATTTGCCCCAGCTCCTGCCTACCTAGCAGTTTGAAAGCATGCAAATACAAGTAGATTAATAGGTACCACTTCGATGGGAAAGCATCAGTGTTCTGTGGACCTTTGGCATATATTCATGTTGGCCAAATGACCATGGAAATGCTCTTTGGACATCACTGGCTCCCTCGGTCAAGAAACAGAGATGAGCACCATGTCCTACAGTCAGATATGGCTGACAGGGAAATCTTTATTTTTTGCTTAGGGAAAGCTTGGCTAGGATATTACATTATCTTCATCTTCACCTTCATCACGAAACTAACTCACAAACCTTTTTTATAACCATGGCTATCCTAGAACAAAGTTCCCCAACTTTGCAGACCGGTGGGGGGAGCAGGAAGAGGGGATGATTCCATGTGCACAGCGGGCAAGTGTGTGCACACTTGCTCACTGCTCATGTGAGTGCGAATGCATGTGCAAGTGCACTCGTCCACCACTTCCACAGCCCAGTTCCAAAAGACTGAAGGCCCAGTAGTGGGCCACAGCCCGGGAGTTGGGGACCCCTGTCCTGGGACACATGAACTGAGAAGAGTGGGAGTACTGATGTTGTAGTCAAGATGAATTTTCCAACCTGCTGCCTTCTAGTCCATACCTATAATATTATGCCCAGTTCCAACTCCACAGCTCAGAATGAATATTAACAAATCTGAATGTGTCCACCAAGAGGATAAGAGACTTGGAAGGAAAAAGTTATGAGAAATGATTGACATTGTTGAGTATATTGTGGAAAGACCTGACAGATGTCTTCAGGTGACTGATGATCTGTCATGCAGATTACGATCAGAACATTTCAAGAAGATGTGACAACAATGGATTTAAATTATAAGGATTTCAACTGGAAATCAGAAACTATTTTTCTAATATTAACAACTGTTCAATAAAAGGCCCATTTACCTTGGAAGACAACGGACTCTCCTTCACTGGAAATGTTTAAATAGAGACTGCTTAGTAGTGATCAGGGGGTTGGACCAAATGATGTTCAACTCCCTTCCAACCCTTATATTTCAAGACTGTATTCGCTATGCTGATTGGGGATTATGAGAGCTTTAATCCAAAACTTTTGCTAGGGGAGTAGTTAGGAGTTCTAAATAAGCTTCTTTAATAGAATGCAGGCTCCTTTGTGTTAATACTACCTTAGAAGTCTACATATGCTTAAATAGTTGGGCATGGTAAGCTGCATTTCTAGTATATTTCTATTCCAGTAATTTTTAAGAAATTCAGAAATCTACTTACCGTATTTTCCGGTGTATAAGACGACTTTCTAAACTCTGAAAATCTTCTCAAAAGTCAGGGGTTGTCTTATACGCAGGAATATACAGGTAGCTGTTCTCTGAATTTAAAACCAATCTGCCCCCTAGTGGCCAGCCCTATTTTTTTTTTACAGAAATAAGCACTAACAGGACAAAGCTTTCTAGCAGCAAAGGAGCTCCTATTGTGCTCATCTATAAACAGAAATTCAATATTGTACTGTATTTTCTGGCGTATAAGATGACTTTCTAAACCCTGAAAATCTTCTCAAAAGTTGGGGGTCGTCTTATACGCCCAGTCGCCTTATACGCCGGAATATACGGTACCTCACATTGAATATTTTGTGTATTTTGACTTTGTAATTTAAGATAGTTGTCCAAAACATAAACCTCAAAAATAGATGGGTGAACTATGCTTGAACACTGGAAACTGAGCAAGCATTCTTCCACAGTTGGATAATAAAGCACCAATTCCTATGCCCTATGCAATCTTCAGGGCTACTTTCACTTTAAATATGTGATTTTTGTCATCAAGCTTGGAGATCTGGATGCAACGTAAAGCCCATGAAGTTGTATTAATTTAATGTTGTAGGGTTGTTTTTTTTTTTTTAAAAAAAAACTCAGCTACTGATTGTAGTTATGCAGTTTTTTATACTGTTTTATGTTTTTTCTATAGTTTTTAACTGTTACATGCCCAGAGTCACAAATTTATATGGGGAATCATATAAACTGAAATAATAAATAAGTAAATAATCTAATGCCAAACTTGTCTAATGTTGTTTAATACATTTATTTAATGCCAAATTTGCCTAATGTTTCACAATGTGAAATAACAATATGTTCCTACTCTGATAAGACATCCTTATTCACCTGGCTTCAGAGCAGCCCTGACATGTATACCCAGCAGAATCTGACAGTAAGAAAAGTTGTCCTTTGGCTCCTACAGAATGACTTGGTTTTACTTCTTCTCTTCATGCCTTTTGAATTAAAGTGATTGCATCTTCTTGCCAGAACAGTGAAGGATTGCTTCAGTTTGGAATACAAATGGGAGTTTAGGTTGTTTACAAAAAATATCTCAATTTTTCTCAGGTGAAAAAGAAATGCAACATGTTCCCCTCACTTTTAATGTGATAATATTCCATCAGCCAATGTTTTACATTCATGGCAAAGTTCCAGTAATATTCCACAGACAGATTTTTTAAAAAAGGTACAGTTATTATATGATTTGATGTTCTGCAATAGCATACATGGTTTGCAAGCAACTAAAAAAAAGTAAACAGTATGTAAAGGCTAATCTGTGAATAATAAAAAGCAGATGAATTGTTTAACGTCTTAAGATTTTCCCAGAAAAAGAAACTCCTTGCTTATTTGCCTCTTCTATGCTCTGGCTTCAAGTCACCCATCCAGAGTTGTGCTATGGATCAGTTTTCAAAGGAAGAGAATGAGAAGAGTGGAAATTAAGCTTGATAGATTTCAAATAAAGCTTTATTCTGGAACCAAATGATTTGAAGTTATGGTATGGAAAACTGTGTGTCAAGTTGTTTCAAACTTAGAAGTAAAAAATTGGAACAAACATTTCTAGAAATCCCAAAGGCCAAGAGGCTTTAATTAGCTGCTTCTGCCTTCTGTCAATCTGTACCCTGAGTTCATTAAATATTTAAAGAGCAATGTAAAGAAAGGCCTTAAATATTCACTTACTTGCTCATCATCGATATACAAATTTACAGCACTGTCCTTCCAGTATGGGGCCAGTGTACTGACAAAAGTAAAGTGCGCTAAACTTTTTAAAAGCTCTTCTACAGAATTTTCTTTAACTGTACATTTACAGTAGACAATCACGGACAGTACCACCCATGGTTCTAATTATCCCAATGTATTTGGGATAATTGCTGCCTGAACAGGTGTTATAATTTCAAAAAAGTAAAAAAAAATGGCATTAGAGATGATCTTGCATTCCAGCACATGACACAACTTCATACTGGACAAAGGAGTCACTTGACAACAACCTCACCAAGTTGTACATGGTATGTATGTATAAGACTGTCTGCCTTAAAATTAAAGTTGGAAATGTCAGCAGAAGTGCAGACACACCCAACAGTCTGCTACAGCAACTCCTGTTCATCATCTTCTGATCCAGAAGGTCCTTGTCGTACCTCCTCATACCATTTGTTGGTGAGGCTTTTCATCTGTATGCGCCCATGATGTAGGTCCTACGTAAAGGGAAGGTGCATTAGAAAGTTAGAATTGCACTTCTCCACGTCCCTGTGTATAAGGCAATACAACTTCAATTCTGCAGTACATATGAAATTAAACAGATCTGATATGCTATGTTTAAAGGAAGAAAAAAATGCTACAAGACAGTACTATGATATCATTAACATGGAGAGATGATGAAGAGTTCCACTGAAAAATCTCAGGTCTTTCTCCCTCCATGTATATATTTCGAAAGCAGTAAGCCACAGAGAGAGAGAAAAATAAAATTTGGAAATTTCAAGTGATAAGATACATCATTCAGAAATATGTGGCTCTTCACATCGTTTACTTGGTTTCCTAAAATGCATGAACAATGTTTTGCCCTTTTGTTACAGCAATGTTACTTGCGTACACTCCCTGCAAGGTAGCTTAATGGGATACGAACAAAGCACATGGTTTGCTCCATACACAGACCAAATACATGTTGTGGCTCAGAAATCTGGTCAGATTGCTTCCAGGTGGGTCAAGATGCAGCTGGAGAAAAACATTTAGACTATTCCAGATTTCAACTGAAGGGAATCCACAATGGACAAGCAAGGCAAGGCTGATGCAGCTCTCTCCCCTCCCTTCATATGGTCTCACCATCAGTCTTCTCAGACCTGCTCCCCACCTTCTGAGCTACCACTACACTCAAATTCAAGTGCAGCATGAGTACCACTACAGCAATTCAAGATCAACTTGGCCAACCTATTTTTCCCCCACATCTTCCTTCTCCATTGCCCTTCCCTGCCATCATGAAATTGCCACCTGCTAACACTCATCCACCTAGTATACCTAACTCAATCACTTTACCTCTTCTGTCATTGCTTGCCTTTCTTCCCTGCTGCCATTCACATTCACCTGTGAATGTGCAACCAAATGCTTTTTTAACCTGTTGTCTCCTATTCCAAGCTGTCTCTATTGAAACCTGTGCGCTCTAGGTCTGTGCACAGATGAAACATGCAGTCTAGTCCCAATACTGACTGGCCCCTGGAATGTTTCATATATCTCAATGGCCTTAAGATACCTAACTCAGAATCAGACTGAAACACTATCATCTCCTTTAATAAGACATTATATGGCCACACAGAGTGTTTCAATCATTTCTTTACACATGCCAAAAAAACCCCCACACATTAAGGAGAATTTACAAGTAACCACAGTGGCCTTTGTAGCAGAAAACTATGGTTACGTGTTTCAACATCAATCCTAGATATTATATGGCTGTCTATTCTGGTGGAAATAATTCACCATAATTTCTTGATTTCCATGAACAAGAAACTTATATTTGCATGGATTTACATTGTGCTAAACCAGTGTGGTTGTTTTTGATTTAATGTGAATGGGGAGAGATCTAGGATTGTTTCAGGGCAGTGACCTTTAGCCTATTTTTGGTTTAGACTGCAACTGTAGTTTAAGGTGACATGTGAATAGAAATATGCATTCTGTTATTCCTGTTGATATTTTAGTTTTTTGCTCCCTTCTCAAGTCTCCCAATCAATTAAAAAGCACAAATCAAGAAGAGCTTAAGGGAAGGAAAATATGCCAGAAATTTGTCAATAGGCTATGATTACTCTGTTTATCTGCAACACTGACTCTGATTTGATTCTAATTTTGTTCAGCAAACTATGCTTAGAACTCACGGCTGAGGTTGCCTGAACTCTACTCAGTTAAATGAGGTTTCTATAAAGAGACAGTCAAAATGTTAGTACAGGAAGTTTATTCATATGTTGGGTTATTTCAATACAAATAGCAGTCACTGTATTCTTGGATATCAAATTAGATTGAAAGTCAATCTGCTATAGGATTTGTTTAGGCTGAACCTACCTCTTGGGTGAGCCGTCTGGTAAAGAAAGGATTCAAATATTTGACATCAAGCCACATAAAGCCTTTCAGATCCTGCCGCTTTATATAATGAGCTTCATACTCTTCCTCTGTGAGTTCAGACAAGTGTTCAGATTCAATGGTGTTTCCCTGAGAGGAGATGATTATAATAAAAAAACAATAGTTTTTTATCTACTGTGTTTACATGCAATTCAACAAAAGTATCAATAACTTTATAGTTACGATGGAAAAATTAAGAAAGTCACTACAGACATATTCAAAAATTAAAGATCATATAAAAGAAGAAAGAAATCTTGACTTGCATTCAACCATTTCAAGAGCCGATTTCTGACTGCCACAGACTTTAGATTTGTGTTGTTTTATAATTTTGGCAGTTTGCACTGCACCAAATGTGACAGAAAAGAAAGCAGCAAAAGAACCTACTAGGATCCAGTATTTTATTAGTCAGGTTATTATCACAAAAATGGCTTGTCTGTTTTGTGATTTTACCTTCCAGCTGCCTTTTACCTGATCTGAATTTATACCAGCCACCTCAAAACAAGGGGTAGCTGAGAAAAACGCTAGGAGGAAAAGTCCACATTGCAAAATGACCAACGCTGCACATTTTACAACTGCATTGCAGCACAAAGTAAAAAAATGGAAGTGAGCCCAGAGCCTAGCAAGTACATCTTTTCCAAAATGATTCCAACCTTCTTCTGACAAGCACATGTGAGGTCCTAAATGTTGGGGATTTAAATATTTAAAGGATCTGGCTGGAATTACATCTGAGGATTCCAGCACATATACCCATTAATATGTAGAAACACTTAAGTGCACCTTATACAGATTGACATGCTTTCATATTACAGTATCAGAGTAACCCATGATTCATTTAATTGGGATTTACTGAAAGACAATACCTCATTAAGAGTGACAAATCCTACTTTTGGTGTGGCATCACAGAGCTCCATCTGATCGACTGCTAAGAGGACTGAAGAATAGAATTCAGCTCCTTGTTTTTCCAATCTCTACCATACAACCTCATATATAAAACTAATCCCATCCAGAGTCATTAGGAAAATGGGTTTAGACTTATAGAACCTTAATTTCTGGTCTAGTGCCAGAACACCAGAGATGCAACATATTCTTTGAGCAAAGCAAGAGCTAGTTTTCCCAAAAATGCTGCTTTTCATTTGCGCTTCACTTCCTATAGAACTGGAGAGAGGTGCTCAGAGAAGAAGCAAGAAAAAGGAAAAAAAGAAATGGGGAGCAAGGAAACCCAAAGACCCCTCTCCAAACATCCCCTCTGCAGGGATTATCTGCCAAATGCCAGTATTTTATTGTAAGATATAAGAGGGATCTCGTTTAGCTGAGTTGAATCTATTAGTTTTATTTACAATTCTGTATATGTGGCTGTTGCCTTCTATTGTTTTCCATATACACCTCTTTCCCAATGAATTCCATATTGGCACTACATCTGTTATATTTTATGTTTCTGAGCTTTGGGAAAGAAGATCCAAAGCATCTTCTTTTCTATTTGCCTAGAGCTGGGCTGGAAGAAGAAATCCTGGGTAGAAGATAAGCCCTCACCGTTGGACAAACTAGGCAGTGTTGGAGAGTACTAACTGGCCAATGGCTGCCCATTGTTATTATTTTTTACTGGAAACTCTTAAAAAGCAAGGTCTGCCGGGGAGCTTTTTAAATCACTCCTCCGAGTTTGTAACATTAAACCATAAACTTGGTCTACAAAATACAATATATGGTTCACACAACATCCGAAGCAGACAAGCTATGTAATAACTATACACTGTCTGCAACTGAATGCATGCAAGCATAAGACTAAATAGTACTACTGATCTACAGGAATAAGTATGGGTGAGCCTTAGGTTTGCATGCAGATTCTACTTACTTCATATAGTATAACTGCAGGATTAGAAGCTCTTGTCCCTCTTTGGCAAAAATACCAAATTACAATCCAAATGGCAAAATCCACTCGGCATGAAATCTTGTTGAGGCTGTTGTCATCTCAAAATCTATGTAAAGTCATTTTTCTCTGTAAGGGAATGTGGTGCCCAGAAGCTCACTCAGATTACAGTGTGCCTCTGAAAGCCATAATTAAGGAATACAGATAAATGAACCTCATTTACTCTGTGGGGTGATCATGAAGTAAACTCAACTGATGTTCGTTGATGTAACCCTCAAGAGAGAAGGCTTTTGAAAGAGATCTGTTTGCTCAGAACTTGTTGGTCCAGTTAAATCATGAATAAAAGAAATGATCAGTTGCCCAATCATACCTCTTGAAATGGTATAAGAGAAGGCATCGAGGTGTACCCGTCACCTATTGTTAAAAGAACTACAGAGCAATATAGACCTCGCAGACCAAGAACAAAGCAAATTAAGCTTTAAGACAATTTTCTTTGGCCAGATAGTGGGGAAAAAAATCCCATCTCTGATCTCAGGACCTTTCCACCATGGAAATGATATTGGGCCAAACCCTGTGAATACTGGCATTTTACTTTTACATTTCAGTCACATTGTTATTCCTCGGGTGGATCCTTTACTATAACATCATCGGCATATATTTCCCGCCAGGAATCAGCCAGGGGACAAAACTACGCCTTCTCTATTTGTTTATGAGAATTGTTCTCGGACTGGTAAGTCTCTGCCTTTGGATTCTAACTTTGCTTTCAGTTGGTTTGCCTGAATGGCAGTCCTACACTTGGTGTGCCTGAGGATCCACAAGCAAGCTCAGAGAGCACCAACCCTGAACTCCAAATATTCTCTTTTATTAGAACTCACTCTGGGTAGCATCTAAACAAATCTTTTGTGCATTATCATTTGGTTTCTTTCTTGTCTTTCACCTGTGCAGGCCAAGATTCTGGATAAACTTGGCATCTGCCATGAATTTGTGATATGGAGGCTCCTTGTGAGTGGAATACCCACAGGGTAACCGTCTGACTTGATCGTCAAGGAAATGCTTTTTGACAGAGTGCCGGTGATGGTCTGTTGTTCTAAAACAGCAGGTCCAGAGAACAGATGAGGACTTGTCTGGATCCGCGGAGGAACAGGCCTGTTTGGAAGCCCCCGTAGGTTTTCCAAATAATTGGCTGATTGTTGTGCAAGAAGGACGGACAAACGTTTGGCCTAAGACCATGCTGGCGAACCTATGGCAGGACTACCTCTCTGTGGGCATGCGCACCGTCGCCCCAGTTGAAGGCCTTAAGTCCCGTCCATGAGCAATCTGCATCAAAATCTCCCTGGGCAAGTGGCTTTTTAAGCTTGGTTTTATAAAACCTTTTCGCTTTAGGCCTCTGCTGCTGTGTGCCCCCCCCAAAAAAAGTTCAATCAATCAATCAATTTCAACTTCAGCCACCAAAGCTGTAGCTGAATGGGCAGGTGAGAGGGGAATCTGCCCCACTTGTTCCACGGTCGCTTTCGGCCGAGCCGCATTGCAGCGGCATTGGGCGCAATATACAAGGCAGCGAAGAGCTGTGCCATGCCGAAACTGGCCGTTTGCCGCCTCCTGTGCAATGCTGATGCCGTGAGGCTGCGGAACAAGCCAGGCGGAGGTAAGAAACTTGTATACCGGTTTCTTACCTCCGCCCGGTTTGTTCCATGGCCTCATGGCAATGGCATTGGATGTGACGTGTGAGGTGGCAAATGGCTGTGTCGCGTCAAAATCGGCCATTTGCCGCAAAGCGCATCGCACCTAATGCCGCTGCCATAAGGCCGTAGAAATAGCCAGGTGGAGGTAAGGAACCGGTATACCAGATCTCCCTTCCTTACTCTGCCTGCTGCTGGAGGGCTGGCCCAGTATTTGCAGTGAGCTGCGGAGACTCAGAGTGCACCGGTTGAGGGGCTGGCAGGCTGTGGCTGCTGCTGGACATAGTTGTCCCCCATGCACTCACTGTATGGGGGGGAGATGGTGTCAGGCAGCAGCCATCCCGGTCCCTACCTTGCCTTGCCCTGCGGCAATGGCACCCCTGCCCTGCCCCCTGCCTCACCTCACCCCGTACGATGAGCCTCCTGCCCACTGTCCCACCTGCCAGAGACCCCCTGGATGTCCCCCAACCCTGCCTGGCCTCCACAGGCATCCCTCCCAAGCAACATTGAGGTGGCCACACCCACCCTGGCCACACCCACCCAGTCTGCCATGACCATTGCAACCATGCCTACCCAGTGGTCACGCCCACCCATTGGGCCAAGCCCACTCAGCACCCGACAATAAATAAGTGGGGTTAGGTTGCAGTTTGGGTACTCGGTCTCTAAAAGGTTCGCCATCTCTGCCCTATACCATTTCAGACAAATGGTTATCCGATATCTTCTTAAAAACCTCCAGTGTGGAGCATTCACAACTTCTGGATACAGGTTGTTCCACTGATTAACTGTTGTAACTGTTACAAAATTTCTCCTTAGTTCCAAGTTACTTCTCTCCTTGATTAGTTTCCATCCATTACTTGACCTGCCTTCAGGTGCTCTGGAAAATAGCTTGATTCCCTTTTCTTTGTGGCAGCTCTTTAAATAATGGAATACTGCTATCATGTCACCCCTAGTCCTTCTCTTCATTAAACTAAACATACCCAATTCCAACAACCGTTCTTTATATGCTTTAGCCTCTAGTCCCCTAATCATCTTTGCTGCTCTTCTCTGCACTCTTTCTAGAATCTCAACATCTTTTTTACACCATGGCAACCAAAACTGGATGCAGTATTCCAAGTGTTGTCTTACCAAGACATTATAAAGTATATTAACACTTCACGAGATCTTCATTCTATCCTTCTGTTAATGCAGCCCAGCACTGTGTTGGCTTTTCTGTCAGCTGCAGCACACTGCTGGCTCATATTTAAGTGATTGTCCAGTAGAACTCCAAGATCCCTCTCACAGTTACTACTATTGAGCAAGGTACCCCCTATACTATACCTGTACATTTGGTTTTTCTTGCCTAAATGTAGAACCTTACTTTTTTCACCATTGAATTTCATTTTGTTAGATAACGCCCAATGTTCAAATCTGTCAAGATCCTTCTGTATCTTAAGCTTATCTTCTGGAGTGTTGGCTATTCCTGCCAGCTTGGTATTGTCTGCAAATTTGATGAGTTCCCCATCTATCCCTTCATCCAAATCATTGATGAAGATATTGAAGCCTAAAACAGAGCCTTGGAATACTCACTGCATACTTCCCTCCATGTAGATGCAGTTCCACTGAGGACTGCACATTGAGTGTGGTTGATCAGCCAGTTAGGAATCCATCTGGCAGTGATGTTGTCTAATCCACATTTTTCTGTCTTATCAAGTAGTAGGTTGTGGTCTACTTTATCAAATGCCTTATTGAAGTCAATGGTTGCAGAATTATAACTTGCAACATTCCCAGCAGGCTTCCAATAAGCAAAGTCAATTGAGGAAGTCAGATTCACTTAACGGCTGCTTGATTCACTTAAATATCATATGATTTGCTTAACAATTGCAGTAAAATGGTCGCAAAATCAACCATTGGGTCATGCAAAGACTTGCTTAACACCCACATTGCTTAGCAATCAAAATCCCAGTTTTAATTGCAGTCAAAGGTCAAGAACTACTTGTAGTATTAGTTATGGATTAGGAGTTCAACTATGCTAATATACCAAAGCTCAAAGATCTTTAACCTTGATTTATCTAGATTCAAACATCATGAATAATGCTGATACATATAATATTTCTATTATAATGTTGTGTGTCTTTGGAGTACAGGTATAGAATCAATGTATGAACAGCAAGCATTTAGGCTATATAAAACATGGATTTGTATTTAAAATTAAAAGTCATTTCCCCAGAATGCTAGCCTCCTCTGAAAATCTTGGGTGCTTGGTAAAAAGCAAGACAGTGTCTCAGGTAAGGTTGATTGTTTCACAAGCTTCTGCTAACCCAAGATAGGGCCTTTAAATAAGCATAAGCACTCTTCCCAACTTCTGAATATAGATATGCATTTTTTCTTATTTTTGACCTACTTGGCAGTAATTTACATCTGTAGCTTATCAGTGAAGTACACACTATCATCCTTTTGAAAGATGTGTGACTCATCATCTGTATGTTATCGTCATACACTTAGATGTGGCTCAATCCAACTGGTAGCATTGTGTCTGAATTTCAATAGGAAGATTATTTTACTTAAAGGTAGCTGTCTGATAATTACACTGCGCTACATTCACTACCTACCTGCTGAAACAGTGCTATATGTTAGTAGAAAGAGAAGCTTCCTGGGCAATAATATTCCGAAGACTCTTGAAATTCTGTCTCTTTTGCCTCTCTTCTGCCTCAATCCACAGAAAGCATCTACCCAAATTGGAGTGCTTCACATGTACTATGGTCACAATCAGAATTCTTAGCCAAGAAGAATTCTGGTAGCTACAGGTAGTTCTCGACCATAATGGAACCTGCCCACTATAGTTGTAAGTTGTGACGGTTATAAAATGTATCAGTCACAGAACTGATTTTCCAACCTTTTTTGTAATGGTCTTTAAGTAATACAGCAGTCATAAAGCAGCTAACATGGTTAAGCAAACTCATGGTTCACTATTGGCACAGTTTTGCCGAAAACTAGATGTGCCAGCTTTTGGCAAAATTGTTGTAAAACATTCTCACGTGACCATGGAATGCTACAAACAGCCATAAATTGGCCATGTTGATATGCAGGTTCTGAGGTTTTGCTGGTTAAAGAAATACAGGAAACCAGAAAGTGCCTTTTAAGTTTTATGTGTTTATTCAGATGAATAGAGACGGACTCCTCTAAATGAGGGGAGCAACAAATGACAAGAAATCCTTGTATTTTTCTGTATAATTACATAAGCAACCCACCCAGCAAAGCTGACACACATAAAATAAAGATTGCACCCAGTAAGTCTGACATACTGTAAATAAGAAGGGAGAAAGCTAAACATGTTCTCATTTGAGTGTTACTTAAAGATATCGTATGTTCTTGGGTGGGTTAGGACATTGGGTGTTGTCCTTGCTATCCTTTCCTGACCCTGAATCCAGGATTACAAGTGACCAAAGAGAGAGAAGCCATCTATATGTATTCATAATTAATACTGTCCCCTAATTCATCAATGTTGCTGAATACCCAAGTTTTGTCATGTGACAGCAGAACAGGGTCAAAAGTAGCCCCAAGGTAAATCCATCTTAACTTCAAATAGTCACTAAGTGATAAACTGTAAGTCAAGGGTTACATATATAGACCCTAACAAATAAAGCGAATGCCAAATCAGGGAAAGCAAATATATAGGCACGAAGAAAGGCAAAGAGGTTTATGGAAGACTCACATATAAAAACATCTATCTTATTTAAACATGGAACACGGAAAACTCACCATTTTCTCTGTTTTGCTAAGATTGATGTCCTTCTTGTTCTTCCTCCGGGCTTTAGAGTCTTCAATGTCAATCAGCCTGATTAAAGGCATTGTTCCTCCACCCAGCAATAAGATTGTGAACAGCACAATGATGATTGTGGTAGTGCCAATCAACTGTCGCTTCTCAATTGGTTCCAGGCCCAAGTGGAGGCTCAAGGCATATGGAATTGCCCCACGTAAGCCTAATTAATGGGGAGGAACACAGGGAAGCATATAAGAATTCCTCAGCCCCTCTAGAAATAATATTCTTTAAGCTATCAAAATGACAGTTTTTTTGTTTGGTGTTTGAAGATTAAGGGACAAGCATACTGGTTTAGGATAGCCTACAAGGAAAAGCTTGTAATGAAGCATTGGCACAAAGCTATGTCACTGCTATCTTCATAACCATTCATTCCTCCACCCCGTCTCATCCCCACTGGAATCTGAGGTTGTCTTATGCCACATTAGTTTTTTGTTCTTTCTATACCCAAGATCTATCTTGTCCAGAAATGGGCAGTCTTTTTGCCTTAATGGCTCTATGTGGCATTCAACAATGGACTGGAAGTACATTTATATGCAAGCATACTGACACATAAATATAGAGATGATCTGCCTCCCAGGCAGCACTGTCTCCATATAAATTGAGTTTCTAACTGCCTGCCAAGATGTATCTAAGGTGTCTTTGTGCTGGGGAAAACCTGGGAGGAAATGTATCCTTATACATGCTATCAATGCTTATAGAGATACAGGAGAAGAGCAATGGAGGGCTTGAGAAAAAGACAACATGTGGCTTTAAAGACAACATGTGGCTCATGGGTGGTCCTACATCCATATATGACTTGGGACAAAAGTTCCATCTGAGACTAGCAGAAGTCACTCTCATTAGACTTTTCCCTCCCTTATCCATATAAAATGGAAATAATTCATAATCTTGGGCTTGAAACTCTGAATTCCCAGCCATTTTTGCAAATTTGCTAGGTCAACATATAAATTGTTTTCAAAATACATCTAGATAAGACTACGTGGGAGAAAGCTGAACTACTTCCCATTTTATGCAAAATGTCCTATACAGAATTAGAAATGAGCAGTGAGAGATTTATCTCTACCCCAAACATTTTTTTTGCTGAGCAGTTGGAGACAATTCCTTTGTACAGTGGGAGATAGCAATCAATCAATCAGTCAAAAATAGAGAAAATGAAAGTTTCTTATGCAGAAACTCAGCATATAGTTTTAACATGATCTTATGAAGACTCAATTACAATTACAATGCTATATAGAACAATATCTAAGAATGAAAATTGCAAGAACTTACCACTAAACCACATGATGAACATCATTTTGGGAGTGATCTTGTGATCACGGAAGAAATTGAGCAAATAAGAGAGGGGGAAAATATTGACTGCTCTACCAAAAAGGACAAGCACCTGTCAAAAAGAAGCAAAATTGAGCTTTTAATAAGAGAAGTAACAATTGGAAAATGGGGATTGGGATTTGTAACTTCTTTATGGGTCACCTCTATATCAGCATCTGGGGCTAATATAGAAACAGAATGCTAGCTTAGATAGCCCTTAGGTCAGATTCAACAGGACTTTATGGGTGGAGCTTAGTAACATACCCATTTTTTTTCTCAGATGCGTTACATGCCATATATACCTCTGCTTATCTTTATTTCATTCTCATTTGGAAGGGGAAGAGCAAGCCCTCAATTTGCTACTTTACAACTGCTCTTGACTATGACGGAATGCTTAAAGGATGTTAAGGAATTATTAAGCTAAAGCTCTAGTCCGCTACAAATTCACTTGACAGCAAATGAAAAGAGAAGGTCTTAACCCTCAAACAAACATGCATGAGAGCATACTATATAAGAGAGGGAAGAAAAGGAGCAAATTCATAGCATTCGGGTTGTATTCAGCTCAAAGAGGAAAAGGAATATTTCTTTAATTCTGGATACTTTATACAGGTAGTCCTCAACTTATGATGACAATCGAGCTCAAAATTTATGTTGCTAAGCGAGATGATTATTAAGTGAGTTTTGCTCCATTTTACAACCTTTTTGCCACAGTTGTTAAGTGCATCACTGCAGTTGTTAAATTTGTAACACAGCTGTTAAGTGAATCTGGCTTCCCAATTGACTTGGCTTGTCAGAAAGTCACATGACCACATGGCCTTGGGACTCTGCAACCCTCATAAATATAAGTCAGTCTCTAAGTGTCTGAATTTTGATCACATGACCATGGGTATGCTGCAATGATCGTGTCATAAGTCATTTTTTTCAGTGCCATTGTAACTTTGAAAGGTCACTAAACAAACTGTGGTAGGTCAAGAATCTGTATTGTGTTTTAAATGCTGTGAACTGCTCAGCATCATGCCTTTGAGATGGGTGACCATATAAATTGAAATAAATGCAAGAGATAACTAGAATGTGTAGGATAAATAAATGCAACATCACTTTTACACATTACTTATGAATTTACAGAAATTCCTAACTAGGAAGTCCTGGAAGTAAAATGCTAGACCAAATTAATGTTAGCCTGATCCTATAAGGTAGTGCTTGCACTCCCCTAGCAATTGGTCTCCTCTTACCGAGGCCTTTCTTTCTAGCCTTGGCTGCCTCAAAATGAATAATAAATAAAGTAGAAACACAAAGCTGCCTTGTAACTGAGTCAGACCTGAGTTCACTAAAAACTAGCATGTCAGGAGAAGAGGTATGCTAGTCCACATTAACCAAAAGTTAAAAGGAATTTGGTGGTATCTTTTAAGATTATCAACTGTTGTTATAAGAATGTATGCAGTTCAATGTCACAGAGTATAAGGATAACCCTCCTCTTAAGTTTTAGGACCGTTATGCAAATCAATGAACATCCTGAAATCTGGATAACAGTAATAATTATATGGTGTGTAAACCCTTTAATCTCAAAAATGACCACTGTTCACCATCAGGACAGTGTCCAATTGCAAAAGAATGTCCTATACACCCATTGGCTTTCCAGAAGACCCTGACCTTTAGGAGTCATTTTCATAGATCCTTTAGAAAGCAATTCTCTGCAGTGTAGCCTAGTTTGTGTTATTATACGTACACATTGCATTGTTTTTAATATTATAATCCAGCTAGATTCCAATGAGTAGGTAGCATGCAAATTGTTGTGACAAATAATAAATAAATTGGAGTTCTCTATGACACATTATATAGCCTTTCTTGCCAATCTGGGGTCAGGTGAAACAAATAAAACTCTACTGTAATTTGATACCTACTATGCACCAGATGACAAAGGACACTTCAAACTTGTGAGGAAAGCTAAAAATTGACAGACCCAGAAATGCAAAAACACATGTTTCTGAAAGAGAAAAATCAGAAATGAGTAATCACAAAGTACCACTATGTTTAATTTTTTAAAATGTCAGAGTTTCAAAAGAAATGTTTGATGCAGATGCAGTCTCTTACATTACTAGATGACATAACTAAGAAAAAGAAAAATGTTCAAAATGTCCAGATACATAATCTGTTATGTCCAGATATATAACTTGTTTCTTCCAAAAGGAAAAGGAAAGACTAGATCTTCTCTCACTGAGTTATTACTTTCAAAGGTTCTGGGTCTAATCCAACAGGCATTTAGTTTCTTCAACAGGGTTCTATTAAAACCTAGCATTTGCTGCATAAGATTTAGCAATGGAGCCCAGATTTTACAGAAATAAAAGATTGAAAAAGAAACACACAACATGTTCGTCTAACAGTATGGCTAACAGTGATGATTTGGGCCTGCAACAAAACACTGCAGTAGGATTTGTCTTGCCAGCAAGATATTTTTTTTCAGGATCTTCTGTTTCCCCCGGCTATTTCCTCTTTTTCTCTCTTAACAGATGTTCAACCTTCTGTGCCCCTGCACTTTAAACTTCAGAAAGCACCATTCAGATCTGATATTAATTTAGCTTTAATAGCTCAGTGAATGCCCATGTTCAAAGACAAGCAGCACACTTAATGATGGGGCAAATCACAAGTTTGTTTCCCACATGTTCTGGTCATGTGTCTCCTGGTAGTATCTAGCTAGCTATTGTGAAAGAAAACAGGTAAAGGATCAGTGAATATGTGATCTAGTCTAACAATGCAGGTTTTGTGCTTGTGTTCTTTTTTTGTGTCTGATTCCTGCATCCATGAAATTATAAGATTTTTTTTTCACATCTGGCCCTACCATTAATACTGTGTTTAGCTTAATATCGTCTAAATAATAAATATATTGAAAAACAAATGCCATCTTAGAAAGGACAGAGAACAGAAAACCACATGAATTTATTGCCTGTATTTTCCCCCCTTTTTAAGTAGCTTCCTGGTACTGTATCCATAATCCTTTAATGGAAATGAAGGCATGTTGCCTCTCTATCATCTAAAAGTACCCTGGAGGCGAGAAAAAAGTAAAAGAAATCCATTTTGTTATTAATCTTGTGGCAAGACTTAGCCAGAGCTTGGGGGAGAAGAGAGGAAAAGATTTACAGCACATTTTATCCCCCTTGTCAGTAAAGGTGACTTTTCTGCTTGGCAGACTCTATATTAGCAGGTGTGTTCTAAGAATTGTGGTGAAGAAATGCTCCCACAGTTAAAGAAACACCTCTGCTTTTTCTTATCCATAATTCACATTCTGAATTATTTTGAAATCACAAAAAATAGATCAATCAATGACGACAAATTGTAATGTCTAAGGCTGCGATGGCATGCATGCTTAGTTGGGAATCCTATTGGATCAAATGGGGCCTACCAAATGTCTGAGTATACACCAAGTTGCAATGTAAAATCTCCTTCTCAGCCATAGCAAGGACTGCAAAGTGCTGCCATCTGCTGAGATATAGGGAAGCCATACACTGCAACCTTCAAAACTATTTTTAAAATACATTTATCTGGTCAGGAGCATTTGAGACATTAGACTAGATCAGGGATGAGGAATTTGAGAAAGAGTCAGTGCTCACAGGAAAAAGACACGAGGAGCTGATAAGCATCTTCCAGATTGCTACTCTCCAGTCTTGCAGGTGTTGTTGACACATTTCCCAATTCTCATTGCTAAGCAAGGCAGTTGTTAAGTGAGTTGTGCTTGATTTCACAACCTTTTTGCCACAGCTATTAAGCAAATCACTGCAGTTATTAAATGAATCATGGATTGTTAAGCAAACCCAGTTTCTCCCATTGATGCTACTTGTCAGAAACCAGCTGGCAATCAATGACCCCAGCACTCTAGAACACTCTAGTCATCATAAATGAATGCCATTTGCCAAGTGCCCGAATTTTGATCACATGACTGTGGGGATGTTGCAGTGGTGCAAAGACCAGTTATAAGTCAGTTTTTTTCAGTGCTGTTATAACTCTGAATGGTCACTAAATGAAGGGTGGTTAAGTTAAGGAGCACCTCTAGAGATAACTCTCAACACCATTGCCCATAGCTCCTGATCAACTGGCAGGACAAAAATGGATAATCATAACTGAAAAATATTTAATGCTTAAATTAAAGTATTTCACTTATGTAATAACCCCTAGATTACTAGTAGGATAATCAGGAAGTATTTGGAAAAACTAGTAAAAACTAGTAGGATAATCAGGAAGCATTTGGAAAATTCTGCTTTGATAATAAGAGTCCAAGCAACAGACAGTACATACCACACATGAATGCAACAGTTCTCAGAGTCTGCTGCATTAGGATCTGTGTAACTGGAGAAAGATTATGGTGGGTATAGTGAGACATTACAATGCCAGAAAACAAGATAGCCATGATACCTGGAAGAAAAATTTCACAATTAGATATACCTATATATAAAGTCATGATTTTCCTTAAACTGCTACTAATTGCAAGCCAATAAAGAATCATAATTGTTTTGCAGCACAAGAATGGGAAAAGTAGTGATTCAGATTGGAAACTTAGGTCTAGCAGTTGCACAATTAAACAACAGGGGTTGGGCCAGCCGCCTGGAGTAGCTCAGTCCTTTGGCTCAACTGACAAAGGGACAAAAGCACCTAAATATTTTCACAATGTACTTCAAAACTGAGGACAGCTTAGTACCTTTGAAGGACTTGGACTGCTTACACAGGAGTTTTGTATTTGCACTGGAGTGTGTTTTCACTTAAGTCTGATGAATATCACTACTGTATATGAAACACCAAATCTTTATTTTTCTATTGTAAATAAAGATCCAACCCTAGAAATTACAAAATAATTGCCCTCCCAATTACATAATTCCAGTTATTAGAAAATTAACATAGTATATATAAAGGACCCAAAATATCACCACACTTTGAAAGTTGTTTCCACTAGGCCAACAATAGAAAAACAAATACTAATTAATAGACTCAAGGAGAATAGCCAAACTAAGACTTAACCATAGATTGCAGATATTTGTTTCATTATAAGTAATATTCTCACTCTTTCAATATGGAGAATGTGGTAATGTTTGCAGGAAAATAATGCTGTGATTGAAAAGGCATCTTTGCAACCAACCTTCCTCTCAAATCTACTGAATTTCAGCTCCTGAAGAAGAGGATATTCTCCTGTTCCAAATTATATTCCACACTCCCATATGACTAAGGCTACAACTATATACCATTACTCGAACATACTGAATAATTGGATCTTTCTGCTACAGTAGAGCTTAATAGTTCATGAAGCCTTTTGAATTTTCAATATTTCTGCATAAATATGCAGATCTGGTGGTGCAGTGGTTAGAATGTAGTATTGCAGGCTAATTCTGCCTACAGTCTGGAATTTGATCCTGATGGGCTCAGGTTGACTCAGACTTCCATCTTTCTGAAGTCGGTAAAATGAGGACCCAGATTGCTGGGGGCAATAAGCTGACATTGTAAACCACACAGAGAGTGCCGTAAAGCACTATCGGGTGGCATATCTAAGTGCTATTGCGATTGCTTATAAATATGACCTGAAAGATGATCTATTCTCCACACAAGTCCAAAACTAGATAGCAAACTCAATTAAACAAATAATTCAGAACTTTATATTTATTGATTTATTGATGAAAATGATCCAAAGCTACATATGGCTTAGCATGACACACATAAACAGTTGCTATTACTTCAGTTCACATGCATTTCCTATATATTCTGTTTAGGGCTGGAAGAAAGTCTCCAATGCTGCAGAGACTGAATGGGGCTTCCATGGAACCAGTATCATATGGATCGATGTCATTTGACACTACTGTTTATTTCTAGAGTACAAAAACAAGTTTCACACATAGAAAATGGAGAAGTCGTACTTGATATTATACCAAAAGAGAGAGAGATGGCAAAGCCTCTGTAAAATGAGAATACAACAGTGATCTGATAGCAGCTGACAGATTCAGTGAACCTCAAATTCATCATAATCCTTTTAGTTGCTGCATTACATAATTCATTTTATCCAATTAAGTCTAATATTCCACTGAATGATTATGAACCTATTAGTGAAGGTGCTCCAGAATTTTAATTATTAGTTGCATTACAATTTCCAAGATTTTATTTGGAATAAAACAGCATTAAAAAAAGCAAGCATTGGCTCTCCAGGGGGTTACTTCAGGACTAGAGAACAGCTGTAAAATCCTGAGTTGCATATGCAAAGTTGCAAATGCTGTGGCTATCAAAACAGATGTTTTCTGGTAAAATCAGCATGGATACAAATATGCTTAGACTTTACAGTTGTTATCAGGTGCCCATGGTGCTTCTTAACAAATGATACAACAACAACTAGAAAAGCAGGGGACAAGCAGTTACTTGCAACAACCACATACATTTCACTCTGTGAGATGTTCTAGACTAATGAGAGGCGGAGTGTATTTAGGGAGAGGCATATTTGGGACCAAGTTCTCCCAGCACTTGAAGATATATAAGAATACTTCAAATCATAAACATGAATAGTTAATTGTAAACTTTGCTCTCTACAACAGGGCCCCTCAATCTTTTGGGCACCAGGGACCAGTTCCGTGGAGAGAGGTTTTTCCGCAGACCAGAGGGATCCTGGTTTCGCGTGCTGCCTGCATCCCGTGGATGAGGCTTCACTTGTTTGTGTGGCCCAGTTGCTGGCATGCCACAGACCGATGCCAGTCCATGGATCGGAGGTTGGGGACCCCTGTTCTACAAGATATCATAATAAATCTCTTTTGACTGAGGTCAAATCACAACATCCCTAAACCTTTGTAGAAATGTTCTATTATCCCAGACTCTAAAACAATGTACAATGTATGTTACTAAAATAATACCACTAGATACTTAATTTAGCAAAAGAGGTTGTTTCTGATTGTGAAAAAACTTTGGTCCTTTAAAATTGTCATAGTCTTCTTCCTTCTCTCCTCTTCCAGTTCAAGTAATTTGATATACTTTCTAGATCATTTTTCTTCTTTTCTAGTTGAAGCAATTTGATATACTACTAGTGTATACAATTAAAATAACTACATATTTTTCTATCTGCATACATTACTGAAGTAAACATTCCAACTACAAAAATACAAAATACAAAAATCCTAACCACATACAGTGCGGTGCAAAAGGTATATGTACCTGGATTATAGGCTGCTTCTTCCTTTAAATTATGACTGAACAGTATCTTTAAATCCAATCTTAGTACAATTTTATTTTAGCTTAGTTTCCAGGCTTTTATGTCACTTCAATTGCAAACTGACTCTGAGCAGCTTACATGCCTGAGTTCAATAGTAAGATTAAAAAGAACTTTTCTCTGCAGGAAGGACAAATTCAGCACATCAGATCCCAAGGCTAGCTGAAAAAGCCAAGTCTTAACTGTTTTATGCAAAACGCCAAGGTCAGTGTCAATTTAATCTCTAGGACAGGGATAGGCAAACTTGGCTCTTTTATGACTCGTGGACTTCAACTCCCAGAATTCCTGAGCACAGTCAGCCAGATGTTCAGACTGTATTTGGCATTTTTGTCTAATATTATTATTATTATTATTATTATCGATCATCGCACAGTCAGCCAGATGTTCAGACTGGATTTGGCATTTTGTCTACCTATCGAGTCCTTACCCAGGACCTCGGATAGGCAGATGTGGATGTTTGATGGTATTACAGATATCGTCGCAGGATGGAAGCAGTTCCTAATAAGGCCGCCTTTTGTAATTGACTAATAGCGAATTTGTCAATGCCAATTGTTTTCAAGTGGTGCTCCAGTTGTTTTGGGATTGCACCCAAGGAGCCTATGACTATTGGTACTACCCTTGCTTGCTTTGGCCACAGTCTTTCTATTTCTAGTTGTAGGTCTTTGTATTTTGTTATCTTCTCCAGTTCTTTCTCTTCTATTCTGCTATCTCCAGGCACTGCCACGTCCACTACCCAGACTTTTTTGTCTTTCTTATCGACAATTGTTAAGTCTGGGGTGTTATGTTGCAGGTGCTTGTCTGTTTGAATTCTGAAGTCCCAGAGCAGTTTAATTTTATCATTTTCTAGGACTTTCTCTATTTTATGATCCCACCAGTTTTTGCTTACAGGCAAATGATATTTTTTGCAGATCTTCAAATGCACCATTGTTGCTACTTTGTCATGTCGCTGCTTGTAATCAGTCTGTGCAATCTTCTTGCAACAGCTTACCAAGTGGTCCACTGTTTCTTCAGCTTCTTTGCATAGGCGGCACTTACTGTCTGTTGCTGTCTTCTCAATTTTGACTTTGTATGCATTTGTCATTAAGGCTTGGTCTTGTGCAGCCAGAATTAGTCCCTCGGTCTCTTTCTTCAATTTTCCTGCTCTTAGCCATTGCCAGGTTTTATTATTATCTGCTTTCCCAGCTATTTTTTTCATGTATTGGCCATGTAGTGCTTGTCTTCCCATGCCTCTATTCTGTTCTTCATTTGGTCTTTCTTGTAGGCCAGTTTGGTCTCTCCAGTAGTTAGTAAGCCTTCCTGATATACTAATTTCAGTGCATCTTCATCATTGTTCGTCAGATATTCTTCCACAGCCATTTTTTCTTCTTCAACCATCTGATGTACTTGTAGCATTCCACGCCCACCTATTTGCCTTGGTAGATAAAGTCTATCAATGTCACTGAGTGGATGAAGGGCATGATTCATTGTCATTATTTTTCTGGTCTGCCTATCCATTGCTTTTAGTTCTGCTTGAGTCCAGTCCACTATTCCAGCTGTGTACCTAATGACTGGGATTGCCCAGGTGTTGATTGCCTTTATGGTATTTCCTCCATTGAGTTTGGATTTTAAGATCTTCTTCACTCTCTTGATGTATTCACCTCTAATCTTTTTCTTGACTTCAGTGTGCTTGATGTTGTCAGCTTGAAGGATACCCAAGTATTTGTAGTACTCTTCCTCATCCAGACTCTTAATGTTATTTTCGTGGGGCATCTTGATTCCTTCAGTTTTCATTATTTTTCCTTGTTTGATAGTAAGTGTGGCACATTTGTACAAGCCAAACTCCATTACAATATCTTGTCTATATATACGGACAGTGTTGAGCAGCGATTCTATTTCAGATGATGTTTTTCCATACAGCTTCAGATCATCCATATAAAGGAGGTGGGATAGTCTGGCAGATGTTTTGATGTTTGATAGCCATGTCCTGAGTTATTCAGTATTGTTGACAGAGGAAACAGTGCAATAACAAATAGTAATGGTGATAATGAATCTCCTTGAAATATTCCTCTCTTGATATTAACCTCTCCCAGACTCTCACCATTGATCTGCAACTGTGTCTTCCATTGTGCCATCGATCTTTGCACAAATTTTCTGATGTTTCTACTGACTCCTGTTATTTCTAGGCACTTTATTATGCAATCATGTGGCAGAGAGTCAAATGCCTTTTTGTAGTCAATCCATGCCACATTCAGGTTGGTCTTCCTTCTCTTGCAGTTTTCCAAGATCATTTTGTCTATTAGGAGTTGATCTTTTGTTCCTCTGCTATTGGGGCGGTTTCCTTTCTGCTAGGTGGAAAGAGATTGTTTTCAATTAGATGCTGTTGCACTGCATCAGCTACTACACCAGTTAGTAATTTGAAAGTTGTTCGTAAGCAGGTAATTGGCCTGTAGTTACCTGGTGTTGCCCCTTTTGCTGGATTTTTCATTATTAGGTAGGTTTTCCCAGTTGTTAGCCACTTTTCAATTTCTCCTCCTTGTAGTATATTGTTGAACTGTTTGGCAATGAGTGGGTGTATAACAGTTAGATGTTTCAACCAAAACCCATGCAGTTCATCTTCACTGGTGCTGACCAATTTTTGATTTTCTTTGCTCTTTTTTCTACCATTTTTCCTGTTATTACTAGTTCTTTCATTTCAACTTCTGTTTTATTTGCATCCACCTCTTTTAACCAAGCCGCATCCTTGTTGTATTTCTTTGGGTTATCCCATATCTGCTTCCAGATTATTATTATTATTATTATTATTATTATTATTATTATTATTATCATCATCATCATCATCATCATCATCATCATCATCATCCCAAAGTAAAGTATGAATAAAGTCTTGCAGGATTATGTCATTGGTCCAATGCCGGTTAACATCTTTATAAATAATGTAGGATACAGAACTGCTTCACAAATTTTTAGATGATTCCAAGCAAGGATAATTAGTTAATATCTTAGAAGTCAAAATTACAATTCAAAATAACCTCTGTGAAAATAAAAATTGGACCATAATCAATGGAAAAATGTTTATCTGTGAGAAAAGCAAAATCCTCCATATACATATAAAAAGTCAAATATCTATCGACTTGATGACAATGTGCGTCAGAATGATCTAGGAATACTTTTGGACCATCAACTGAACAAAGGCTAATATAATCTCCGATTATATTAACATAAACATCACAAGAAATGTCCTAATGTTGTTAAGCTGTTGTTGTTAAGTTGTTAAGCAGTAGAACAACTTGCCTAGAACAGTAATAAATCCTTTTTGCTGGACGTTTTCTCATACAGTGTACACAATTATTAGACAAATGAGTATTTTGACCATATCATTTTCATGCATATTTTCTACCTCCAAGCTGTATAAACTTGAGTACTTAGTGGATTCAAGCATATCAGGTGATGTGTATTTATGTAATGAGGTAGATGTGGCCTAAGAAGATCAACACCCTATAGCAGACATGTCAAACTTGCGACGTCACATGACATCACGCAAGATATCGGAACTTTTCCCCCATTGCCGGCAATGAGGTGGTCACGGTTTCCTATTTTGTTGCAAATAGTCAACAGGGTTGCAAGAAAAATGTTGAGAAAAAAAAACACACATTAACTGCCAAAGATTTGAGAATAATCAAACATGAAGCTACCAGGAACCCATTATCGTCCAGTGCTGTCATATTCCAGAACTGCTACCTACCAGGAGTGCCCAGAAGTACAAAGTGTTCAGTGCTCAGAGATGTGGCCAAGGTAAGGAAAGCTGAAAATCGACAATCACTGAACAAGACATGTAAGTTGAAATGGCAAGACTGGGCCAAGAAATATCTGAAGACAGATTTTTCTACTGTTTTATGGACTGATGAGATGAGAGTGATTCTTGACCATATGGATGGGCCCATGGCTGAATCAGTAATGGGCACAGAGCTCCACTATGACTCAACTCAGACTCCAGCAAGGTGGAGATGGGATACTGGTATGGGCTGGTATTATTAAAGATGAGTTAGTTAGACCTTTTCAGATTGAAGATGGACTCAAAATCAACTCCCAAACCAAGTGCCAGTTCTTAGAAGACGTTTTCTTCAAGCAGTGTTACAGGAAAAAGTCTGCATCTTTCAAGACCATGATTTTTATGCTCCATCGCATGCATCGAAGTACTCCACTGCGTGGCTAGCCAGTAAAGCACTTAAAGATGAAAGAATAATGACATTACCCCCTTCCTCACCTGACTTAAACCCAATTGAGAATTTGTGGGCCCTTCTTAAATGGGAGATTTATGATGAAGAAAAACAGTACACCTCTCTGAACAGTGTTTGGGATGCTGTGGTTGCTGCTGCATAAAACATTGATCGTCAACAGATCAAGAAACTGACAGAATCCATGAATGGAAGACTTATGACTGTTATTGAAAAGAAGGGTGGCTATAATGGTCACTGATTTTTTTTTTTTTGTGAAATATCAGAAATGTTTACATTTTGAGTTGTTTATTATTCTCTTTAACAAATGCAAATAAACAAGATGGGCAAATTTTCATTTTTCATTTAGTTGCATAATAATTCTGCACACATAGATATTCTCCTAAGAAAGCCAAAATCTCACTTTTACTTTTTAAAATATTCAGGTTTCAGATTTAGTAATATTTTGGATTGATCGAGAGCACTTAGTTGTTCAACAAGAAATTAATCCTCCAAAATACAACTTGCCTGATAATTGTGCACACAGTGTAGTAGTTAGATAGCCATCCATTGGAATGATTTAATGTATTCCTATTCTGAGCATTAGGTAGAACCAAATGACTCAGAGTATATTTTCCATGGCTCTATGAAAAACCATAATTATTTTTAAACTGAAACCAAGCAAATCTCATTATGATTTAGCATAGCCTATGAACTTCGCAATAATAGACAGGGAACATTACATACTGGTTTGAAACAGTGATTCCCCAAATTCCAAATTGGTAAAATCTCTTTTGGGATGTACAGTAAGGAGTTAATCTAAATGTGAGAAAACATAACAACTGGAAGGATAAATTATCCACTTCTCTCTCCTTATACCCTTCATGGAAGATTGCAGGGAGGAAATATACTAGAAATTTTGAACACTCTGAGAGCTCTAGGGAAATGAAAGCTGTTTTAACACTGTTAATTTCAGGGGGTTTGTTTTGCAACTTACCTGAGAGAGAAATTCCTTCTGCAAGTCCATAAGGAAGATATGCAAAGATAATCATCATCCCAAACTCCAGGGAAGGAGTTTTTCGTAAATCAATATGCTTCAATACGTTAATTACAAATAGTTAAGTAAAATAGGAAGAAAGATGAAGCAGGAAAGTCAGATTAGGAAGTTCTCATTTGTCATTAGAGCTCCATTAGAAAGCTTAGCATCTCATGTTGAATCATACAGTGCAATTATTTTTCTTTATACTGTTTAGCTGATGGAATTTTTCAAGTGGAATAACAGAAGCTACCAGGTGATGGTGCTCTGTGCAATAAGGAATTATTTTTAGAGGATTTTTAAAGCTTCTAACAGTGCATATAAAAATGCTTTTATTACAAAAGGGCCTCTACGTTTATAATATTCTTAGCTTTATACCTAATCATTACATTTAAAAATTCACTTGAAAATAATATTGTAGTTGTTAAGCTGCTTAAATTTTTCAGATTTCAACAAGATTTAAATATCCTTACATACAACTGTTACTCTCATTTGACATGCTGAAAAAACAATTATTATCAGTGATCATCTTCTAACAGATTAAGGTTCTAAGGGCAGATGGGTAAATATGTCTGGAGTACATATTTTATAAGATAGAAAACAACTCCACTGTAAAGTTTCTTTGTACTCTATATATGTGGTTTTAACTTATTTGAAACTATTATCTAAACACTTTACTGGAATGAAAGCCAACTTATGTTCTCTGTGCTTAACATAGATGTTTGTCTGTAAAGAAGCCACTTAATAATTTTAGTGGCCAAAATGGCTTCAAAAAGAATAAAGATACAGACAATGGCACATTTCTGCTGGTTGGCTTGGATAGTCAATCTGACTTTTCAATTATGATCCATTATTATACTTCATATTCAAGGCTAAGAATGGATACCACAAACACACTGCCTCAAGAAAACTAGCTACTCTTTTAAATATTCCCTTTAAATTTTTCAGATCTATTGACTGAAAAAGTGCCACTGAAATTCACTTTAACAGACATTTTGCCCAATGTGATATTTCAGTCTATCCAAAGATCTGCTTTCAAGAATAATTACAGGTTCATAAAGTTGGATAATCACCATCTAGGAATCACTTTGTCCAATCCTGTTTTTAAAAAGATTAACCTTGCCTTGATTCTGTTCTAAATCTACTTTGAAACTCTGAATATTGGATGCTCTAATTTTCCAAGTTGCTCTATAAGTTAATTAATATTCAGTATAATAGTCATTAACCCAAACTTGTTGGGCTCACACTCCCTATAGCTCCAGGCAGTAGGACCATCATCCCTGAAGCTAAATCTAATATTTCAAAAGTCACAGGCACTTCATCCTAGGCTTGAAAACATCAGAAAGAATTGTTTCAACCAATACTTATAAGAAACAATTTTAAACACTTTACATCCCTTTTATAAGCACATTTGAAATATTCTAGATAATGCAACAGTATGCCTACTTAAATCAAGTATGCCTACTTAAATCATACCTTCAATTTTTCTTTTTAACAATATGACTCAAACATTCCAATTAGCATGTGCAATGATCTGGCATTGTGTAACTGTGTGGTGTAAAACATTAATTTAAATCTCTAAAGACAACAGGCTGTCTGATCATGATCTAAAATCTTGATAATGAGTGAGCGTAATTTCTCACACAAACCTCTAGTTACCAATTTGAAATAACACACAAAACCTTTTATGTTTTAACAAAAAGTTAAAGTTCTAATCTGAGATAAAACAGAAAACATGAGATAGAACAAGCTATGATCCCAAAACAAACAAAAATTCTGACAAGATTACATCCTTAACAAAAGCTAGAAAAAGAAACCAAAACTCCAAACCAAAATGCTCAAGCTGAACCCTAGAAGCAAAGACGTACCGGAACCTGAATGGGTTGTCAAAATGTCCAGTTGCTCACTATCTACCACAACACACAAGATCCCATCGAAAGGCTTCAACTTTAACATAAATGATGTTTATTGGTTAGAATCTGCAGCCTTAGAAGTATCATTTAAAACCACTGGCCTTGCCACAGAGACCTGACAAAACATAAGGCAGACAATCAGACCACCATCAAACAAAGAATCAGAAGCAACTCAAAGTAGAGGACAGAGCAGCCCTCAAAAAACCTAAAGCAAGACCAAACCCTCATCCTCTGAACAACAAAAGTTATCATGATCAGATCCCAATACATACAAAAAGCCAAAGAATTGCTGGAAGTCAGAAGCCTACATACCAATAAAACCAACCCAGTACAGAAAGTAGATAACTTAATCAAGAGAATTCTAAACAATCCAACCAAGAAAGGTCAATCAGAAAAAGAAGAACAGTGGATGAAAAGCTCTCATATTCCTACACTTCTATGGACACCCCAAAATACACAAACCTGAATACCTCTTTGTCCAATTGTATCATTTGCCAGGGATTCCAAAATACAATATAGCTAAAGAGCTTACAAAAAAGCTTGCACAGTTCAGAGAACAAATATTCTATCAACTCCTCACTACAGTGCCTACAGAAAATCCTAAGACCTAAAATAAAAGAAGCTGAAATTATGATTTCATTCAATGTCACAACACTTTTTACATCAGTGGGACCCCAGAAGAAGTGAAAGAATCCATGGCAGCAGTACTACATAACACATCCGATCTAAGAAAATATGCTAATATCAAAATACCCAGAATCATGGCCTTCATCAACCTCTGCCTAACTACCTATTTTCAGTTAATAGAGAAATATATCAACAAATCAGAGGAACACCTTTTATGTACAAAAGCGAAAGGTCTTACAAATACCCACAATGGAAGAATGGTTAAGCTGATGGAATTGGCAGGAATGGTGAAATTGACACCCTTGATTAAAGAAAAGATTTTGAATTTTATTTTTACCAGGAAACCACTTTTGGACTTTTTGAGAAAAAAAAATGAAAGAAATGAAATTGTGATTTTGGAAATAGAAGATTAAAATTATAAACTAGAATTATATGTTATTACAGAAATAATGTGGACTGTTGTTAATTTTAGCGTAAGAGTTTGAAGCATATTCTTCATCTATATATCAAAAAAAGTTGGAAGTCATTCTTTTTCTATTGTCTTTACTTTTTTGTCTTTACTTTTTCATTCTCTTTTGTTTCTGAACTTTTATCTGGCTTTTTTCTTGACTTTTCTTTTAATTATTTTTCTTTCTGCTTGTCTATTTTTTACTTTTTTAAAAAATTCAATATATATTATGTATATGTATATGCATATATATTATATATACACAAAAAAGAAGAGCTATGTAAGAACATTATTCAGATGAGCACAAACAGTGCAGCAACTCAGAACACCAGAAAAGAGAAACAGACTGCCTATAGAACTTCCAACAAAATGGACACCCATACAACTTTATAAAAAATTGATTGATGACTCAGCTCACAACCAACACAAGCTATGAAACGGTTACAACCACATGGCATCTCATAGCAATAGCAGTTAGACTTATATATTGCCCCACAGTACTTTACAGCATTCTCTGGGTGGATTACAATATCAGCATTATTTGCAAATTGCCCCCAACAATATGGGTTCTCATTTTACCGATCTTGGCAAGATGGAAGGCTGAGTCAAACTTCAGCAGGATGTGGGCAGAGTTTGCCTCAAATACTGCACCTAATCATTGTGCCACCAGGACTCCTTATCACATAGCACATATGCCAACTTGTTGTTGTTGTTAATTGCGAAGTCGTGTCCGACCCATCGCGACCCCATGGACAATGTTCCTCCAGGTCTTCCTGTCCTCTACCATCTTCTGGAGTCCATTTAAGTTCACACCTACTGCTTCAGTGACTCCATCCAGCCATCTCATTCTCTGTCGTCCCCTTCTTCTATTGCCCTCAATCTTTCCCAGCATTAGGCCCTTCTCCATTGAGTCCTTCCTTCTCATTAGGTGGCCAAAGTATTTGAGTTTCAACTTCAGGATCTGGCCTTCTAAAGAGCAGTCGGGGTTGATCTCTTCTAGGACTGACCGGTTTGAACGCCTTGCAGTCCAAGGGACTAGCAGGAGTCTTCTCCAGCACCATAGTTCAAAGGCCTCAATTCTTTGGCGCTCAGCCTTTCTTATGGTCCAACTTTCACAGCCATACATTGCAACTGGGAAAACCATGGCCTGGACTATACGCACTTTTGTTGGCAGGGTGATGTCTCTGCTTTTTAGTATGCTGTCTAGATTTGCAATAGCTTTCCTCCCCAGGAGCAAGCGTCTTTTAATTTCTTGGCTGCAGTCCCCATCTGAGGTGATCTTGGAGCCCAGAAAAATAAAATCTGTCACTACCTCCATTTCTTCCCCATCTATTTGCCAGGAATGGAGAGGGCCAGATGCCATGATTTTGGTTTTCTTAATGTTGAGTTTCAAGCCAACTTTTGCACTCTCCTTCTTCATCCGCATCAAGAGGCTCTTTAGTTCCTCTTCACTTTCTGCCATTAGCGTAGTATCATCTGCCAACTAAAACCCTCCAAAACATTTTAAGTAACCCAAGACCCAGTAACCCAAGAAGTAAAAACAGGAGCAATCTACAAGTACAGTATAAGGACTCTAACAGCCACTATGTAAGGCACATAAGCAGAAAACTAGCAGAGAGCATCCATGAACACTAACCAGGACTCAGAAGACATGATGAAAACTCCATAATTTCACAACACATGGGCAGACCTAACCATAGTTTCAACTCAGAAACTGTGAGCATCCTAGACTAAGTTCAATCCAAAACAGCTAGGTAATTTCTAGAAGTTTGGCAGTCAGACAAATCAGCCATGAACAGGCTCAAGGGGAAACAAAGTTTACACACCATTCTAAAGAAACAATAAAAAAGCTAAAAAAAGAAACGAAAGAATAGAACATCTCCTCACCAGTAATCACCACCCAGATAACAGGATTAAAAGGATTAATACTAGACTAGAAACAGTGAATCAATAATACCCTAAATCAAGGAACTACAACTCAAACAAATGATCAAGCGGTAAACTGCCAAATCAAGTTACTAGCAAGAAAAAAACAACATCCCCACCAACACTGACAGGGCAACCCCATTTCTTTCTGGTACAGAAGATGTTACCTAACTCGGTAATGAAATATCTACAAGAAAACAATCAAATTCAGAGAAAACCAAAGATTCCACAGTTCAACCCTGAGCTTCATATATTATTTTTCACTGAAAACACAAAACATTCCTTAGATAACAAGCAATGTTATCTATTGAATACACAGAAATAAAAATGTTTTTTTACCAGCTTATCATGAAAAAAAAAACACCTCACTAAATTGTACACTGCACTCCTATTTGCTCTCAAACTGCCTCCCAATGTGAGATGCTCTGCTTCAAATGTTCCAGATGTCAACTATTACAATCTTTGGCTAAGGGCAATGGTGGTTAAAAGGAGAGCTGGACTGTAGTCTAAACTATTTGGAATTGTCCAACTAGTGTTTTCCTTTATTAGACATAATGCATTTTGTCTAATAGATGGAATGCATAAAGCACTAAAAATGACAAAAAATAAATATGAATTTCTCATAAGCACAGTCCAACCATAGCAAATAATTTTAGCTCTACCAATATTTAATACTCTCGCTGGTCATATATGTGGAGTTTGGATTTATATAACATTACTGGAGGCTTTCTTTAATCAGTGTAAAAACAACAAATATAATTGAGAGTGTAATTAAATGGGAGGTGACAAAGATCTTTGGCACCTACAAGGGAAATCCTGAGAAATAGAATAAAAGACATCTGTCTTTATGGCCTCAAGCATATCACAGCCTAATAGCTTTCTGTCAATTTTCAGTTGCCAGTCAGAAAAAAAAAAATCATTGCTTAAAAGCCTAAGCCGTAATAGGTTGAATCGTCATGAGAAGATGTCCAATGTCCTCAATATACTAACCGTAACCTATGTAGCCAGATTGTGTGTGCAGCTCAACAAAAAAGTATTACCATTAATCATTCACCAAATAATAAAAGACAGATAGAAAGGCATGTTCAGTGACAAAAAAAAAATCTGAACAATGAGAACAGTTCAGGAGGGAACCAGAGGTCCCCAATCCCTGGGCTGCGGTCCACTACCAGGCCACAACCTATTCAAAACCAGGCTGTGGGAGAGATGGGCAAGTGCACATGCATGAAACGCCACTTGGCTCGCACACAAAATTCTACTTGTGCAAGCAGAACTTCACAAATGAGTGCAAGTGTCTGCCACTCACAAGTGGAGCTTCATGCATGAATGTGAGCACCCTCCACTTGCGCACGATCCTCCATTTATGCAACTGAAGGGCATGTGCACCTGCCATTCACAGAAATGGAGCTGTGCACGCGCATGTACATGCCATTTATATGCCATGCCACCAAGCTGGAAAAATTGGCAACCGCTGGTCTAGAGCAATGGTCCTTAACTTTTTCTTCACCATGAACCCCATTTAAATACCCTTTGTGGCCACAGACGATGGCCACAGATCCCCAAGAATAACTCAAGGATTAAATCATAACATTTTTTGGAGACCCCCTGTGAGATAATGGAGCCCCTCCAGGAGCCCACAAAATACAGGTTAAGAACCACTGACCCAGAGATATTGTGGGCTTCCTTTTACTTCATGTGAAGCAAGGATGGGCAACAATTTGTCAGGGATATTTTAGTTTCAATTAATGACCCAGCCCAACTCTGTGATTCTATGATTTTCTACTATTTTTTACTGATTTTTTATGTTTTCATACTGCTTAGCAATTGTCGTAGTAAAGATTATTGTGGTGTTGCTGCTGCTGTTATTATTCCTGTGTTCCTACAATTCCCTTTCCAATCTAGACTGTAGGAGTAATGTCAGTTTTGTTACTTATCACTAGCAACTTAACCATTATCCACTCTTTGCACACAAAATAAGCAAATTAAACATATACTTCAACAACAACAAAAGAATTATGGAATTCTATTTTTATAGGAAAAGAGAAACTCAGACCATAATGGAATAATGTTTTAGCTCACCAGATATTACTGGAAGATGAGAAAAGATGAAACATACAGTATATCTTATAACAGAAAAGCAATTCAAGCTACTATGAAAAATCAAACTCTTTGTCTGACATAAATTCCATACTAAAGGAGCCAGGCCAATTAGCTGGATAGATTTTTGATATAAGATAATTTCAGGATTCAATTCTAAAACAGGCAACATGAAAATAAAAATTCAATCAATCAGATATTTAATGCATTTGAAAAATGAAACATGCACTAACACGTTATTGAAAATATAAAGAATGTACTAAAACTACAACTGGAAAATCATATATTAGTCTCATCCATTAGCATGGTGTTTCTCAAGCTTGGCAATTAGAAGATGTGTGGACTTCAATTCCCAGAATTCCCCAGCCAGCAACACTGCATCAGCAAGCATGATGAGTTATTATAGAACAACTTGGGCCTTAGTGAAAGTCTTGTACAAATATAAGTTTCATGCAAATCTGAAATTGTTACTTGCTAACTCTTGCTAATAAAAATGTTATGTTTTAAAAGAATAATCATCTTCAGAAATGTAACCAAGGGTTATTATTAAAGAGCAAATATTTATTTTATCTAAAAGCAAAGGATATTAATGCAGAAATAAGACCAGTCAGAGTCCCCAGTGCTGCAGAACCAAAGAACATCTTCAGAAAGTAAGCCAGTGCTTGTAAAAAGGTTTGCCATCCACTTACATCAGATGTATGTTCTCTCGTCAAACCTTCTGCTGTACTGAGAATAATAATAATAAAAAACAAGGACAACCAAGGGGATTACACATTAGAATCTTAAGTCTGGGATTCAGAGTGCAGAATCCGTAAATGCTTTATTTTTGTTGTTATTGTTAAAATTGCTCTTAAAATGCTTTCATTGTAATATGTCTAGGGGAATGACGAAAGACATTCAATCAACTCAAGATGCACTATTTTTCAAAGGGAAATACAGTTGTTCTAAAGATACAAAATAAGCCAGGAGGGTATCTACTTACAGCAAAAGAAATGAAATCTTTCTAACAGTTCCTTCACAAAGAAAAAAAAAAGAAGGCACAATATAACAGAATCAAAAATAAGATGTTTTCTCTTCTGATCCTCAAGCAAATGAAAAAATGGGAGGGAAATAAACTTATATTCTGAGGAAGGCAGGAAGGAAGGAAGGGACGGAGGGATGAGTTGGATGAATGAATGAATATACTTCATGAAAATATTTCCAGATCCAAATATGACTAAGGTTGGCAAGAATTAGATCCTTGACAAATCAGACAATATTAATATGTATATGTGGAAGTCACCTATAGAAAGCTTTTAAAAATAAATAAAATTTAATGATATCCTTAGGCACATCATCCAATTAATCAAGAAGATTTACTTTCACCTACATGACTTTCAAACCAAGCAATCGGAAAGTACCCATTTTGCCCAATATACCTTACTGATTTATTAAAACCAGAGCTTTGTAAACATGTACAAAATAACTCTATTTCTGGTCTCAAACCCAGAAACTAATACTGCAACAAATATAAGCCATGGAAGCAGAATGAATTTACACACCAGCTTCTCATATGAAGTAGAATTTTTAAAAGAAATTCATAAAGACTATAGTGCTGAAGAAAATCCCCAACACAAGTTCCTGCCCTTATATGTAATTAAATATAGGTTGTGCATCTGTGGATCTTAAGAGAAAGAATAATTGGGGCTGTTTTATATGAGAGTGGGTGGCAAGCATCAATGTGACAATTAAGGAGGAATGATGATTAAAAAGCATACTAAGCGAAAGAGCATAAATGCATATTATGCATATTTATTACATTAAAATAAGTAGTGTTTAAAGAAGTACATTATTCTTTGTCTAAATGAGCATTTAATTTCAAAAGATTTTTTTCTTCCATGTGCATGAATGTACTTACTTTGTCAGGACAATTGAGACTGCATCATTGAGAATGCTTTCTCCAAAGACCAGCATGTTAAGCACAGGGTCCACATTAAGAGCATTAAAGATAGCAATAGTAGCTACTGGATCAACAGCAGAGATCAGGGAACCAAAGGCAAAACTGTCAGGAAATCCAATAAATATATTAACATAATGTCTGAATTATTAAATGCTACTAAGGTTTGAGGCTTACTCAGCAAGCCTGGAACACCTCGATGGATTGAAATCATTATCCTGGAATGCATTGGGGGGGGGGTTTCATTCTAACAGAAGATGAATCTCATTCCATGTAGACCAACAATTATCAACAAGAAAAATAAAAATAGTATATTTTTTCAAATATTTAAAAGTAACCTGCTCAATGTCAGATATTCATTATATCATAATTAATCTAAATTTTTAATTTAATATTATTAACAGGTTGCACTTTAGATTTCTTTTCTGATTTAACAGGACATCCCAGACAACTTTGGAGAACTTTTATCATCACATGTATCCCTTCTATTTAAACATTAAAATTTTAACAAACAATACACAACATAATATAGAATTACATTGGTATCTTTCTAATCACTGCGGTTAATTCCTCAGATCCTTATCCCACCTAAAATATAGATATCTGCTGTCTTCTAGTAATATTTCAGCCATTTTCTAGAATTTTTCAAAATTAATACATAAAGATTTAGCCAAACCATGTGATGCAAGTCATCTGGTGCTATATATTAAATTTAAGAAGCAATGACACTTCTTTACAGTTAAAAGGCTGAAGGCACATTGCTATGCCATGTTAAGTTCCCATATCCTCTTTGATTCACATTTCCACCTATCTACCTAAACCTAGGTAAGCATTATATCATCACTGAACTTAACATTGGCCACAAGTATAGTGCTCAGGAATCAAGAACCTAATAAATGCAGTCACTGTGTTCATTGTAGCAGCTACAAATGAACACAGTTTGTAGCAGCTACAAACACACAAGATTATATAGAGTCCTCTCAAAACTTACCTGTCAGTCATATTCAGTTTATAAATTACATCAGCCTAGAAAAAATTGACAAAAACAGAAACATCTTGTAAAATTTAACTATTACTCTTCACTTCTCTGTTCCATCTATCAAGGAACGAATGAGTTTCCTGGTTTGAATTTACAGATGGATTCTGTATTTTCAAAAATGAGGAAACTGCCAGATTTATTTCCCATGAAGATTTCTTGGAACATAAATCTTCTATTCTCACCAAGGTATTGCCCTGATGTGGATTTCTGTACATTTCAATAAAAGCTGTCTTTTGGTCTCCCTCAAGAGCTTGGCATTCAATAAAGCTGTGATGAACATTCCTGTGACCTAATATAGTACGCTGTCATCAAGAAGGGCTGAATTTCTCAGAAAATGCTGAAGACACTCATGTATTCACCATGAAATGCAAAAAAAAATCCTAAAGTTATTAATTTATAGTTCAATGAAGCAAGGATCTGCTCACTGCAGCAATTTCATTTTTATAAGATCAGATATCGAATTAAAGGTTACTAATCAATGTTATTTTTGTCCAGATCAACAAATAGTGCTTTCAGCACATCATATCGTCTTCAGTGGAACTGAAGAAGCTTCTTGGATGAAAAGTGAAACATCTTCAAGGAAAAACAAAGTCCAGTTGCCTTTTGAAAAAGCACCTTTGAGACTATCAAAATCTAAATATCAAAATTGAAAGATTATGGAATTGACAAGGTATGGTAGTCCCAGTGGTTATTGACACACTGGGTGCCATACCCAGAAATTTTAGATAATACTTAGAATTTCCATCAATCAATTACAAAAGCCTACACTGCTTGCATTTCCAAATATATTACATAGATACATTACAAAACCCTAAGTTCTTGGGAAGAGCTCAATGCATATAAAGGCCAATACCAGACAAAGAACTGCAGCTATGACTTCGCATTGTTCTCAACAAATAAATAATATTTTAAATGTATATGCCATCTGACACTCAGCAATTACAAGTGGAGGGGACAATTTATGCTTAATTGCAATATGTCTACAAAACAGTAGTAATATGTATATAGAGTTAACCCATGAAGCATAAACTAATGAAATGAATGAGTAAAATGAAAATTAAGATCACAGTCATAGTTGAAACAATAGCAAGATGATCTAGGATCATTTGCAAACTTATACTACTTTTCTAAGTAGCCTTCTCCAACCGTGGGCCATAAAAGTAGTTATCATTCTGATGACAAAAGTGCTTATAGAATGAAGCTTCAGTAATAGATTTCTGGAGATAGATGGATTTGTGCAAAGAAACCATTCTTTTAGCAATATTTTTTCCATTAAAGATAATCAATTGCCTGGGGCAATTATTTCCTTTCATTTTTTTAAACTGCTATTCTTTTCACCTTTTTAATTAGTCTCAGCTTTCTTTTAGTTAACCAAAATTTAATTGATCAGAATTGCATATAGAATTTGAATACTTCTATATGTGGACTTCAGCATCCAAAATTTCTCCAGCCTGTACGGCCATTGTTGAGAATTCTGGGAATTGAAATGTATACATTTGGTACTTGTCACTGTTGGAAAATACTGCTTTAGAGAGCAGACTTTGATTAAATAGATGTGAAAGGGGAGGAAATTGCTAAATGTAAAAGCCATTTCTTGCTGGTGATTCTGTCCTTCATCATATGTTCAAAGGCTTGAAGCAGTAATCTCCATTGCAGATCCTACACTGAGCTGAACTGCAGCTCCCAATAGCCCTAGCCAGCGTGGCCAAAGTTGAGGAATGTTGGGACTTTTAATCCAGAAATGTCTGGTGTGTCATTAATTCCTCAGTATTGGACTATTCTCCAAGTGACATGCAATTCCCAAAATCTTAGGTCCAACCACAAAATTATGCTGGACACTATTTTTTATTGAGACAAAAAGGAGAAAATCTTGTATAGAGGGGGGAACAATCATATTATCTGAATTTAATTAATTTTACTAAATAGGCAATAAAAATCAAATTTAGCCTTTGTCCTAGTCTTTTTTGTCCTGGTTCTTCCCATTTTTTAAGAATGTAGCTCTTGCATTTGAAAAACTCTACACCTCTGGATTAGATTATTTTGCAGGCCCCTTCCAACTCTACCTTTCTAAAATATTACATGAACTCTCAGCACAAACAGTCCTATCTTAAATGTAAGCCACTTATGATTTACTACAAACATTAAATGCTGGTGCTATCATCTTGCTTTGCATTGTTTGATAAAGATACAGTCTCTGCTGTGGTAGTAATTAATTACCTGGGAGTTCCCCAGTGCAAATACTCTGCCTTTCCTCTGCTGTTCTGGGATTTAATTAAAATGATCTGAAAGTCAGACTATAGTAGTACCTACTTTAGCTAGGGAAATAATTACTATTGTTTCCTTATATAAAATGCCTGCAACCTGAAAAGCAAAATGATGTCTATGATGTAGAACAGGAGTGTCAAACTGTCGGCCCATGGGCCAGATGCATCATGGCAAAACCGTGCCCACCCCTTTGCCAGCAATGGAAAAAAAGTCGCAATACGTTGCAACGTCATGTGACGCTGCGAGTTTGACACCCCTGATGCAGACGATCCAAAGGACAGAATGGTAAATAACTCTAGCAAGTCAATTTCAGGTTTTCAATAATCAAAGAAAAGAATATGGCACCGGTCAGATATATGCAAGATTCTGAAATGCAATAATTCCAGGAAAATGTAAAACACAGATATCATTGTGTCATATAAAGCACTACTTATTTTGTTTTGTTTTATTATTTTATTTATTGAGCAGTCTTGACTCCTGACAACTACCTAAACTCTGCAGTTTTCTTGTCAAGATTTTTGAAGTGGTTTGCCATTGCCTTCTTCCTAGGACAGAGAGGAAAAGGCTGGCCCCAGGATCACCCAGTTGGCTTCATGCCTAAAGTATGATTAGAACTCCCAATATCTCATTTCCTAGCCTGGTGCCTTAACTATTACACCAAACTGGCTCTCAAAACATTGCTTTAATTTATCTAAAAATAATTATATTTTATTATTAGCTCTTGCATATATTTAAGCAAAATATATGCAAGGGATTCTCCAATAAGAAATGCCATTACAAAAGTGTATATTAGAAGAAAGTAAGCCAAAAATGGACATTTTCGTAAGGGTAACATTAAAAATGCATTAGGTAAAGTTGTTTGCAAGGAATATATGTGCTAAGAAAAACTATATGTCCTTAATTTCTGGAGAGCATTCCACACCACAACGAACTCCGTGCATGCAAAGTTCTGCATGCACATTCTCACCTGACCAAGAAAGTAAATTCCTCCGCCAACTATGAAAGCTGAAATAGCTGTCCCAATCACAGAAAACAAGGTGATGGAGCCTATGTTCTGGAAGAAGTTCCCCTAAAATAAGAAAATATGAGGGAGATATAAAAAAGAAGAGTTTTGCAAATGCTTTAAACCAAATATTACCTGCAATCACTGTCAGGACCTGAATCTAAATACATGTAAAAATTAATGTTGTATGCTACATAATTAGGGTAAAAAATAAATTCAATAAATAATTACATGGGTTGCAGAAGCACAGGATACATTTCCTCATCCATGTGTAAATATCGGTAGATCATATATATCTAGCATGAACAAATTGGACTTTCAGATCGAAGAACATTGTGCAGATTGAGGCTCGCCTTTGCTTTTTTTCCCCTTTTGTTTAATAAAATTGCCCTACTCAATGACAACCCTGGGCAACTTATACCAATAACACAAAAACCATATAATGAAGCAGAAAAGAAGGAACTGTTCACCACCACCACCCCAAAAAGAGAAAAAGAAACCTTGTAAGAGTTTCACCACCCACTCTAACCTAAGACCTGAGGAAAAAGCCCTGTATTGGATGGCTTTTTAAACCAAGGCAAGGTAGAAACAATGCTGGTCCAGAGAGCAGGCTCAGTGACAGACAAGGCCCATAGTATGCCCATTGGGCCTTTCCATAACTGGCTATCTCTGGTTATTTCTTTCCATTACTGAATGGATGCAACCATGGCACCCTATGTGTAGGCTTTAGCAGGTAGAGAAAGTGTGGATCTAATAAAAAGTTGCCCAGTTTGTAACTTCAATATCCCTTTCCACTTCTTCAGGAATGACACATTCAAATGCATTCCAGCTAACCACAGAAGCCAGATATAAAGGGCAAGCCTGGCATGGATTGGTCCCTCGATGATCTGGGTGAAACCAATAATTTCCATGAATTCCTGAGCTGAGCAAACTGAAATCCTGGGACTTATTTTCCTAAGAATCAGAACAGCTAACCCAGAAACAAAGTCTAGCAACTCAGGCAGGTAGGCATGTAATGTTTTTCTCTACTTATGTACAGGTGCCTGCAAATGTGATTTATATTTTTCAAATGGTAAACAGTATGGACATCTAATTCCAGATAATGAATGGCTGTCAGGAAGGAACTGTACCCGTGCTGAAACGTTAAGGTTTCCTCAAACAATTTGAACAAGCAAAGTACAGTACAGGTATTCCTCAAACTTTAACCATTTGTTTAGTGAACGTTTGAAGTTATGACATCACTGAAAAAAATGAGTTATGACCAGTTTTTACACTTACAACCATTGCAGCATTCCCATGGTCACATGAGCAAAATTTGGGTGCTTGGCAACTGGCATGTATTTATGACAGTTTCGCTACCCTGGGGTCAGGTGATCACCATCTGTAACCTTCCCAGCCAGTTTCCATCCAACAAAGTCAATGGGAGAAGCCAGATTTGTGAGCACAATTCACTTAACAGCTGCAGTGATTCGTTAACAACTGTGGCAAAAAGGTCATAAAATGGGGCAAAACTCTCTTAACAGCTGCCTTGCTTAGCAATGAAAAGTTTGGGCTGAATTGTGGTTCTAAGTCAACCACTATCTGTATTTCTGCTCGTTTCGCATATAAGATAATAGTTGACTTTTTTTTTTGACAGACCCTAATATGTACCACCAGTGTAAAAAAAGCAGATGACTGAAACTTTGAGTATCTTCCAGAAACACGTTCCTGTTTCTAACTTTTAGTATTCAAAGTTAAATTAGGATTAAAGAGACAGACAAGGAAATTAGTTAGATTTTAATTCCACAGGGAGTTTGTAGAGTGTCATCCCAATGTTTCATCTGTTATATTTTTAGAAATTTATTTTCTCCTTTCAGTGTAGATAAAACATGGAAAATAAGAGAACTTTCCACATCCAGAAAATAAATGACATTTCAGAGAATTTCAGGAAACAAGAGGATTACAACCATATTTTCCTGGATATTTTGATTATTTTATAGATTTTCTAATATGAAGAAGGAAGTGCTTTTTTGTCTGCATATTTTAGTTTGGACTTGGATACAGGAGAGAAAGGTAAGTCTTTTACATCTATGGAGATTCTCAGTCATCCAGGTCATGGTTGTCCCAAAGGTGTCTTTTCAAAAGGCAACTGAACTTTGTTTTTCCTTGAATATGTTTCGCTTCTCATTCAAAAGGCTTTTTCAGTTCTGACTGAATGGTGGAGGATGGAAGGATTTATATTCATTGCAGTGATCTGGTCACTAGCATTCTTTCTGTTGCTGGGAAAGAGTGCTAATGACCAGATGACTGCAAGGAATATAAATCCTGCCATCCTCCACCATTCAGTCAGAACTGAAGATCTTTCGATGAGAAGAGAAATGTCTTCAAGGAAAAATGAAGTCCAGTTGCCTTTTGAAAAAAGCACCTTTAGGATAAAGGCTTTTACCTTTTCTGAGATCACAGAAAGGGAAAAGGACATTGATGCAAAATATTTCCCTTCCTTCACTTGCAGTAGTGCCTATTTGTTTAATCCAATTCACTTCCACAAGGGAAGCAACCTTTATGTGGGTAAAAGGACAGATCCTGAGCTAAAGGAGCACTTTTTCATAACATTCCATGAAACTTTATTCAGATACCTGTGTATGTGAGAGAGTTTAGTCGAGAGTTAGCAAAGGGTCAGAGTGCTCAGTCATTTGTATTTATTTCAAAGTTCAAGGGTAGTTCAACACAAATATAGCCATTGTTCACTTTTAGAGGATTTTAGATATTTGTCATTTTAATTATTGTTTATGGTTGGTGGTTTTTGAAATATTATTTTCTGCTTGTCCTACTATTGTAAATTACCTTGAGTAGGCCATATACAAACTATTACAACAAAAAAAAAAACTCACTTTGTGCAATGAATACCCAGATTCAAATATAATTGGCGGAAGTAAAAGAAGGAAAAACATATTAGGGCGAAACATTTCTTCTTCCTGCAAAATACCACAAACAAAAATATTAAGCAATTATGAGATATATGAGAAAGGGACTAATACCATATTAGAACAAAGGTAAATTCAGCATCTCTAACAAAAATAGGAACATTTTATTACAATATGTGCCACCAAGTGAGTGTTGACTCCTAGTCATCATACAGATAGATATTCTTCAGGATAATGTGTTCTTAACCTAGTTGTTTAAGCCTTCCACTGCCATTTTAATTCAGCCCATCCAGCTTGTTGCTGGTGGTCTTCTTCTTCACTAGTCCTGCCTTAGGCACGATAGCCAGCTGGGTGACCTCGTGACAGTTACTCTCTCTCAATCAAACTCACCTCACAGAGTTGCACTTGGGGAGAAAATAAAGAAAGAACTGAGAAACTTCAAAGAATGTACTACCCTAATATCTGAATTGTTAAAATAGGCAATATGATAACAAAGAAAATATAGTGAAGTAATGTATTACTATTATGTATCACCCACTGGCATGAAGAATCTAACATTCTATATTTAAAATTAAGGATACTGGAATTAAAATATATATAGGGCAGCTCTTTTGATTGTTCAGAATGCAGTTTTTAATTGGATGTGACTAGGGTGGATTTTGGTTCTTTTTCACCTTTTGGTGGGCTCTAACAGACTAAATATACTTACTTTTCCTCTTAACCTACTACAAATAAAACAAACCAATTTGATGTAGGAATTTAAGAAGTAAACTGTGTGCCGTAATCCTTCATTTCTTAATTTCTTAAATCCCCTAAATTACACTGAACGTGTTGGCTTTGTTCATTCCATGAGACTGCAAAAGTGTACTGGTCACTGCAGGTCGCTTATCGGTGGCTTAGGAAATCTCAAAGTTTTATAAAAGTCCCAAAACATTTTAGGGTTAACAAAAAGTGCAAAGGAGAAGAGGTTCCCTCATTTCCCCCAAAAATGCTTAATAAAAACTGAGTGATTGATGAGTCTCTGGGAAAGGCGTTTATGGAATACAAAACAGGCATATTCCATTTTGTGTTGGATTATAAGTCCTAGAATTCCCAGCTAGCCGTTTGTACAGCTTATTAAAATGAGATGACCAGTAAAAAAATTATTCCTGCTTTAGGAATGAAGAAAAGAATATTAATTGGAAGTTGGGCATTAAAACTGAATTATTTAAAATAAGTATGGCATCAATGATATAATAAATATATTGTAAAATTGCTGATATACCTTCCAGTTGGCCAGCTTCTGAGATTCTATAATTTTTATAACTGCACCCATCAAGATGCCTAAAAAGAAAAAGAAAAAGGGCAAAGAACAATTCATTTGTTCATGTGGTAATTGGAAGTTTTAAGCCATTGCATATGAATCACATAAAAGTAAGTATAGTCTCAAACGGTGGTCTTGTATTCCTTCCTCCCCTCATTACGCCTGCAATTTTCTCATAAAGCTCTAACTTCTGGGCTTATTCTGTCTGTCTTGATGTTATTAATAACAAATCCAATCTGCTAAGAGACCAGAACAGGAAACTGAAAATAGCTCTGCTGATATCAAAGAACAATTTAGCAATACCTTAAGTTGGGCAACTAAAGAACTTAGCATTTATTTAATTATTTATTCCATGTATACAACAGTTGTCATGTAACTTTAGGCAACTGACAACAAAAACAACCCAATAGTATAGACAATAGAGAAATAAAGAAATAAATAGAGGACAAGGAAATCATCTACAAATACCTATAGTTACTAGGAACAAATTTCACCTCACCCACATTAACACACAGTGATGGCTCATGGCCCTGCCTTAGTGACTGAGGGAAGAGTCATGTTTTCAGATTCTTTCCAAAGGCAAACAAACTCTAGTTATCTGGACTTATGTCCAGTGCTAGAGAAGGCCTTTCAGAATTTTAATTTTGAGCATTTATGTTGATTACAAAACTAAGTGAAGCAGCTAGCTTCAGTTATGCTATTTCCAATTCAAAGGAAAACTGGTATGATACTATCATGACCATATTCATGGAAGTCATTTCTCTTTCCTATTATTAAAACTGTCCTCAAAACAGTTACATTTTTATGGCAAGGTCTTGAGAGAACTGGATTTATATAAAGAGAAAGAAAAGGCTCATATATTGGTGACACAATAATTATGTTAATGGTACATGTTTCTATGTATCCAACCAAAGTAAGGGACATGCAGGTGATTCATCATGATTATGTGGAACTGCTCGTTTTGCTGCCTGGAAACAAAACTGCTAATATTACCTTAACTCATTTGAATTGCCACCTTTTGACAATACTCTACAGAATTTTTTTTTAAAAGGGCTCTGGAGTAGCACAAGAGTACCACTACAACATTTCAAGGAGGTGGTAAAGTCCGACTGTAGATTATAAAATGTAATTAAAAGCTTCATTCTTTTAATACTGGCCCATTTCTCTCTATCGGAAGACAGCAACGGCAAATCACTTCTATACTGCTGTCAAGAAAAACAGTATCCATGGAGTCCCCACAAGCCAAGATTGATTTACAGTAATATTTAGTTCCAGCAAGCAGTAAAATCTAGTTACTCTGTCCATGCTTATAAGCTAAAGAGGGTTGAGCTTAAAGGTACTTGGAGACTACAGTATTAGGAAAGTCGAGCTCAACTTAAGAGAATTAATATATTTACCTAATCACAAATGAGGGAGAGAAAGGACCACAAGTTTATCACATCATAAATTCTTTAGTTCACCCTGTGAGTTGTGTTCATAAGTACTCTGTCTGCCTCCCTCTAAATGTGAGCACACATCCTGTTTATGATGCAAGTTATCAGATTTTACACTTTTTCCTGCTGATGCCCGAGAAATGTAGTACAGCTGTTCATATATTTATAGGAACAGTCTGCTCAATGGCTGAAACAACAACCATAATCCAGAAACAGGTGGCTCTCTGTTTGCTACTAATCTTAGGGTTCTCAAAGTCCAGCCAAGCCCAATCTGATTACCTTCATATCTGTTGGTCAATACCAGGCATGTCAAACTCACGATGTCACGTGACATCGCGCGACATATCGCAACTTTTTCTCCATTGTCGGCAATGGGATGGGCGAGGTTTCAGTATGATGCATCTGGCCTACAGGCCGGCAGTTTGACACACCTGGTCAATACAATCCATCATGCACAATAACTTAGCTAATAGTCACTTTGTTTGATGACAAGGGGAATTATAGGCCAATTTCAAAAAAAGTCCACCAATTTAAGCCACACAGGATCAGGAGAAATAACAGTTCAGACTCAGCTGGGGAGCTGCTCTTCCATCCCAACTCTATTCTAAAATAGCAAAGCAAAATGCTCCTATGACAGCTTTCATAATGTTAATCACTTATTAGGCAAGGTAAAAATGAGTCCCAGAATGCTCAAGATTACATCTTTGATAACTCTGATCTACCTCAGGCAGAGAAACTGTTGAAATTGCCAATAGCAGTGCCAGATCTACAGAGAGGGTTTTGGATATTGCCATTCTTCCTTGCACAATAATAATCTGCATCCTTCACTCACTCACTCTCTTTCTGAAAACAAATATGTAAAATCATCATGATTACTGAATCTTCAACCTGAAGGCTGTAGATTAAAATCCTTGTTAGCCATGATAATCAGTGACTGCTCTTCTCGCAGTCACCCACGTTCTGGCCATATAAATCTATCTAATAAATTGTTTAATTATTAAATTGACTTGGAACCAATATATTATTTCTCCCCTTCACGCTAATAAACTTCACAGGATTTTTCTTCTACACTGTATTGAATCTTACGAAGGTAATGTGATATATAGGCAAATAACAAAAAGCAATAATTGGATTAAATTACAATCTGGACTTTGAAAATATCAGTGACTATCACTTATTCAAACAGAACAGAATAAATTTTCCTGCTACTATCAGTACTTACCTAGAGAAACAACAGCAACACTCTCTGGCAAGAAATGCAGTCTGTATCTTATCAATAAATGCACCAATATGATGCAAATAGCTGGAAAAAAAGCAGACAATATTTAGAGATATTTAACAACAAAATTCTTGATCAAACAAACCCTACAATTATCCTCTGAATTTATAATATGAAGCTTGAAATAAACTGAACATTCCTAAAAGAGAGCCAGTTAGTCAATGCTATCTATAAGAACTTTTAATATTTTATATGGGCTTACAGGCAGAAAAGGGCAAATACCTATTGGGGCAGGAACAGTTAGCTGCTAGGAGGAAGAACTCTAACTTCTCCAATTTATACAAGAAATCCTAGGATCCAAAGCTACGTATCCAATTATAAAAACTGTGTAAGAAGAAAGAACATGGAAAAAAGTAGCATAATTGAAAATGAGTTATATAGATCAGAGGTAGTCAATCTTTTTAGACCAGTGGGCACATTTGTTATTATGAGAATCTGTCGCAGGTCCTGCAGCAAAATAATTGCCGTAGTGCACATGGTGAACCACAAAAACACCTGTTTCCAGATTATCTCCTCCAGTATGGTCTCTGTCGTGGGGTTCTTAAAGCTCTCTGAACTTGGATGCTTTCTTGCAGATGTTGCATTACCAAACTGGATAACAACATCAGTGCTAGAAGGGAGCAGGGGTTGCTCTGTACTTTTATACTATGTTTTTTTTAAAAATTGGCAAATTTTAACTATTTAACCAACTGTCTCATCTTTCATATTAAGAAACATAAGTAAACTATTTGTCAGACCAGTTGTATGTCATCTGCTAACTTGTCTATTTACTTTTCTATAAATACTTGGATTAAAATTTAAAAAACTGTATGCTTTAAGCTTAAGCTGTTACATTATTGCTTCTGAGAACTTTCCCACTGAATTAATATCACTGAACACTATGAAATGCCGCTAGCCAATATTTCTTAATATTTTGTGAGCACATAACAATATATTACTCAATTGCCTAAAGACATGTGTTAAGAAATTTTAATGACTATACAGTAACATCAATACAAGTAACATAGGCAAGCATCTAACCAGTTGTGAAATGTTGTAATTCCTCTTTTTTTTTTCAACATTTTATTTATAATACAATTAAAAAACATTGGATATAACGTGACATTCATCCAGTATATACATTCTTATCAAATCATTCCATTTTACAATCAATTCTTCATTTCTAGATATACATCTAAGTTTTATATACAGTACTTATTCTAAAATAACATATATTTCTATTTTAACACTAGTCTTTAATCCCAACCGTCCTCCTCAAATCCCTCCAGCGGTAAAATTTATCCCAGGTTTCGAAATAAACTGATCCACATTTGTCTTTCAATACCATTGTGAGCCTGTCCATTTCCGCACATGCTAATATCTTATATAGTAACTCTTCCTCTGTGGGGATTTCTTTGCTCTTCTATTTTTGCACAAATGCAAGCCTAGCTGCAGTCAAGATGTGTAGCAGCAAGTTGATTGTTTCCTTATCGTATTTCTCTGTAGTTATTCCCAACAAGAAGAGTTCAGGTTTTAACTCTAAATCCAATATTAATATATCTTTCAACCAGCTTCATGTTCTGTTCCAATACTCACGAGTCTTTGGGCATTCCCACCACATATGGTAATATTGCTGATTTACATTTCTAGCATAGGGGTGAGATATTTGAACCCATTTTGGCTAACCTTACGGGTGGGAAGTGCCATCTATAGAACATCTTGTAAATGAAGGTCAGAAACAATTTTATAAAAAACTACATAGCATTATTAGTGAGTTTGATTATGACAACATTTGTATAATGGGAGGCTTCAATGCGATTAAGGATAGACAATTGGATTATAAAAGTGATAAGACCAGAAAAGGAATTAGACCAATATTACCTAGTACTTTCTTAGAAATGGCGGAGTAGTTCAACATTCAGGATATTTGGAGAGAGAGGAATACAGGGAAAAAGCAGTATACATATTTTTCAGGGCGACATTTCTCATGGTCCAGGATAGATATGGCATGGTTGTCAACAGACCTAAATTCGGAAGTGGAAGATTCATAATTGATACAAATTCGTTGGCTGACCACAATCCAATTAGAATTAAATGGAGAGGGCAAAAGAAAATGAGGAGGTGGACTCTAAAAAGAGCAATTTTAAACCACAAAGAATTTAAATTGAAATTGGAAGATCAAATGGGCCTATTCTTCCAGATGAATAAAAAGGAAGATACAAATTCTCAAAACTTATGGGACACAGCCAAAGCCTACATGAGAGGTGTTGCAATTGCTTATATGGTTAGGGAAAATAAAATTAAAATACAGCGACAAAGAAATCTTGAAGAAGAACTTAGCAGAGTAGAAGAAAATTTATAAAATGAACCACAAAGGCGTGACCTGAAACAACAAATAGATTTAATTAAGCATAAGATAAATATCATTGAAAAGGAAGAATTGGGGCAACAAATAAAACGTACCAAACAAAATTTCTTTGAAAACGCCCATAAACCAGGATAAAGAAACATAATGATAAAAAGAGGATGAACGAACTATACAATGAAAAAGGAGAGATGGTTTATCAGAATGAAAGGAAGAAAATGGTGGCCTATGAGTTTTATAAGAAATTATACGAAGATGTAGAACGGAAAAATAAGGATGATATACTAAAATATTTGCAATTAACCGATCTACCGAAAGTTCCAGAGGAGATTAAAAATATGTTAAATAAAGAGATAACACCTTTGGAACTATTTGAGGCAATCAAGAAACAAAAAAACAATAAAGCCTCAGGTCCGGATGGTTTACCAACAGAAATATACAAAATTATGCAAGAATCTCTAAGTCCAATATTAATAGATCTATTCAACGAGGTTCTGAAGAATGCGAAAATCCCGATCTCATGGGAAGAAGCAACTATCACTTTGATCCCCAAGGACAATTCAGATTTGGCGTTCATTAAAAATTACAGGCCCATTTCACTACTAAATTCGGACTATAAAATTTTCATGGCCATAACGGCTAAACTTCTTGAAAGATTCTTAGTAAAATTCATACATACGGATCAAAATGGTTTTCTGTCCAAAGGATATATAAGAAACAATGTTAGGATTATATTGGACGTATTGGAATATTATGAAGTCCACAATGAAAAACAAATGGGACTAATCTTTCTTGATGCACAAAAGGCGTTCGATAATGTGAAATGGGATTTTATGTTTAATCAATTGGAATACATGGACTTTGGGGAGAACTTCATAAACATGTTCAAAGCAATTTATTCCAAACAGGTAGCTAAAGTGATAATCAACGGAGAAACTATTAAAAGCTTTCAAATCCAAAAAGGCACAAAGCAAGGTTGTCCGTTATCTCCACTATTGTTTATATTATCCCCGGAGGTACTAAACAGAATGATTTGGAAAGATGAGTATATTAAAGGCTTAGAGATTAAGAGAGAAATTTTTAAATTGCAAGCCTTTGCTGATGATCTTGTTTTCATACTCGAAGAGCCTTTACAATCAGGGACAAGGCTAATGGAAGTACTGGGTGAATATGGTGAAATGGCAGGCCTAAAGATAAATAAGGAAAAACCCAAAATGCTTGTGAAGAATATGATTAGAACACAGAAAAACGAATTAGCTGATAGATTAGGCATTCAGATCACAAAGAAAATAAGATACTTAGGGATACACTTAACAGCTAGATGTGTAACAATTAAAAGAGACAATTATGACAAAATAATGGAACAGATTAAAATGGACTTGGACACCTGGACAAATTTCCAGCTCTCTTTCATGGGTAGAATTGCCGTAATTAAAATGAATGTACTACCTAAAATATTATTTCTATTTCTTTTTTTTTATTATTATTAAAAAGTTTTATAAATTTTACAGAAAATAAAAGACAATACAAAAACAAAAAACAACATATACAAATAAAAAACAAACATTACCCAACAAAACCCCCCTTCCCCCACCCCTACCCAAACCCCCCCTTCCCCCCCCAGGGCCTCCCAGAGCAGAATATAGGCTTAATTAAAAAAAAGTTAAAAAAAATTATATTTATAAAAAAAAAGAATATAAAATAGAAAATATATATATAGAGAGAGTTAAAAATTATGAAAAAACTATATAGTATTTTTTATATCAAATTTAAATTGTATGAATTTTATCCATTTATCCCAAACAGCAAGAAATTTCTCTTGCGTTTGTCCCTTTAAGAAAGCCGAAATCTTTGCCATTTCCGCCAAATGAGACACTTTAAGAAACCATTCCTGCAATGTAGGCAAAGATTCCTTCTTCCAATATTGTCCTACTAACAGCCTCGCAGCTGTAATCAAATTTAACATCAATATAACCTCCTTTGTATCACAATCAATAACTATACCTAACAAAAATAATTGTGGAGTAAATTTTACCCTCCTTTTAAAAATTCTCTGGATATTCCACCATATCTTAATCCAGAATGCTTTTATCTCTCTGCACGACCACCAAATATGATAATAAGTAGCGTCCATACAACCACATCTCCAACATTTAGGTTGTAAGTCAGGGTACATAAAAGACATTTTTTGTGGATCAAGGTGCCATCTATAAAACATTTTATAAAAATTCTCCCTTAAGTTCTGTGCTTGTGTAAATTTGACATTTCTCACCCAAATAGTTTCCCAGGTGTCCAATGGAACTGGCTCGCCAAAATTCTGCGCCCATCTAATCATACAATCTTTAATTAGTTCCGTTTCTGAATCCAATTCAACTAAAACCCCATAAATTCCTCTTAATGTGGGTTTGTCTTTGATCCTTCACTTGCTTAATAAGATTTTCATCTTCTCTGAGAAAACCCACCTTACAGTCCATCTTCCATCTATCTAATAATTGCCTATATTGGAACCAAGAATAAATAATATTTTCTTGTGCTAACTCTTCCCGTGATTTTAACTGCCAGTTTTGTCCATCCCATTTAAGTAACTGTCTATAAGACACCATATCCATTTTAACCCCTCTTTTTATTCCTTCTATTGCATGCCAAGGTATAGCCCATAATGGTACTTTGAAATCACTTT